ATCAAAATCCGAAGACAAAATATTTTTTTCGATTTTTGTCCATTTTTCGATGGGGTCCCTTGAAAATGTGGTTTTCCCCTATAGGGTCCACCGTGATGGCTATATCTTCCCCAATTCTCATCCGATTCTTAAGCCAAGTACCTTAAACGATTTGTGGATCGATTCTCCACCGTTCTGCACCAAAATCCGGAGACAAAATATTTTTTCGATTTTTTGTCCATTTTTCGATGGGGTCCCTTGAAAATGTGGTTTTCCCCTATGGGGTCCACCGTGATGGCTATATCTTCCCCAATTCTCATCCGATTCTTAAGCCAAGTACCTTAAACGATTTGTGGATCGATTCTCCACCGTTCTGCATCAAAATCCGAAGACAAAATATTTTTTCGATTTTTTGTCCATTTTTCGATGGGGTCCCTTGAAAATGTGGTTTTCCCCTATGGGGTCCACCGTGATGGCTATATCTTCCCCAATTCTCATCCGATTCTTAAGCCAAGTACCTTAAACGATTTGTGAATCGATTCTCCACCGTTCTGCATCAAAATCCGAAGACAAAATATTTTTCGATTTTTTGTCCATTTTTCGATGGGGTCCCTTGAAAATGTGGTTTTCCCCTATGGGGTCCACCGTGATGGCTATATCTTCCCCAATTCTCATCCGATTCTTAAGCCAAGTACCTTAAACGATTTGTGGATCGATTCTCCACCGTTCTGCATCAAAATCCGGAGACAAAATATTTTTTCGATTATTTGTCCATTTTTCGATGGAGTCCCTTGAAAATGTGGTTTTCCCCTATAGGGTCCACCGTGATGGCTATATCTTCCCCAATTCTCATCCGATACTCAAGCGGAATAGCAGAAACGTTCTAGGGATTTTCCTCAATGATAAAGTGAAAAACAGCTGAGATATAGACCAGCAGTACAGAAAGTAAGCCCCCTGTGAGTTAATGTTTAAAGCAAAAGTTTTGCTCTTGAAATTATATTTAAGGCAAGTCCTCGACTGTTCCAATTACTTTCTCATTATAGACCTGCAAGAGGGCTTGAATTAATCTGGCCTGAATGGGGGAAAAGAATCCAGTTCAGCGAGTCAGGCGATTACTGTGTCAATTAGCGAGATACATAGTTGTATGGGGGAGTCGGAGTCAAAGTGAGCAGCCCTTTGGATCAGTAGGTGCTCGATGTGATTGGAGCGCGGTTACTCCATCAATTATTGAGTGCTACAGCCTGGTAACCTGCAACCTGGTGGCTGTATCCTTTAACCTGCAACCTGCCACCTGGTGGCATGAGCTTTTAATAAGCAATCTCTCAGGTGTGTGTGTGTGTGTGCTCGAGATCCCTTGGAGGCGCCTTTACTTCACTTCACATCAGTTGGCTTCAATCAATCAAAATGCACCTCAATCCCAGCATAATCCCTTGTAACCCCATGAGGATGTACTTTTTAACAGAGTAAGTGCGACTGAGACGGGTGGCTAGTGAGTAAAAGAGAGAGGCTGAGGCAGAGACAGAGACAGAGAGAGGGGCACCTGACTCGAGTAAGCCGTTAGGCATTCATTATGCACTGCACTGTGTAGTATGTTGCAAGTTGCCTTTACATCGGCTTGCTGCTGATTTATGCGCCGACACGGCGATATGGAAGGAAAAACAAGAACAAAATTAGAAAGAGACAAGACAAGAGCTGGGAGAGAGGGACGGGGATAGTTGTCATGTTGTCGACTTTGGCTAAGCAGTCGAAAGTGAGACAGAAGCTTAGCTAATTGTGAAGACAGCGGAGAAGAAATCAAAGGCAAGAGCCGGGAAAAAGTTGGCCAACAAAAACTCATTAATGAGCCGACAGCTGGCGGAGAAATGGGTCACAAATACACACACACACAGACACATAGACATAGACATCCTAGATGTTGGAAGGATGAGAGAAGGCAGGACTTAGTCCTGTCAAGAGCCTGGCAAACAGTTGCATTCTAATGAAGACACAGACTCATACACACACACAGTGGAAATCAGTTGAGCTAATTAGGACCTTACTCCTCCTCTCTATCCTTCGCCTCCCACAGGTAAGACCCCCCCCTGCATCCCTATTTATATCCAAGCTAATTTGGCATATTTTTTCGCATCTATAGACGTTTTTCGGACTTTCCGCTCGCTAAAATGAATTTAAATGCCTCGCCGAAATTATGCCGGACGCAAAGTTTGAAGAGAACTTCAGGCCAAAGCTTCCGAGTGGAATCCTCTCAAAAACTAAAGGGGCCGGCTTTTGGGCCAGGACGGCACGGGACGAGGGGCGTGGTCGCTTATCCTTTGGCTATAAATGGAAAATAGTTGCCTCATCAGATGAACTGCAAGAAAAAGGTGGAAATTTCAACAAGAAATATGGTTCTTTAAGAAATATAAAATGTTTTGTTTTAAACTTTTTCTAAATAATATATTCTTCAATTTTCCTGCTTCAAAGTTGGTTTTCGGCCATTTACTTTGATGGTTTTGACTCAATTTTCAACTGATCCCTGCCTGGCCAGGATCCTTGTGGCCAAGACTAACTTTGATCTACAGGCCCAGGCTATGGCCCGTCTCTGGGGATGGAATTGCGTAAGACTTGCCCGCTCTGGCTCCTCTTCTGCGGAGTATAATGAATTTAAATGTCGCACAAAAGTATGCTACACCGAAATGACATTACGTATACGCCCCCCATCGCCCGCGAGATGGCCTCTGTTTTTCGGGGCCAGAGGGCAAAGTTTACAGTTACCAGTTTGTGCCTGTCCTTTTGCCTTTATCCTTGCCACCTTGCCACCCCCTTAGTCCCTCTCTCCTGTATAGCATTTCCGTTATATCCTGTATCTCCTTCGGTACATTCAAATTCATGGCGACGGCCGCCAGGTGGCGCTGCATGTGTCAAACGACGCGCGGCTTATTTCGGGGGGGGATAGGGAGTGGTGTGGAAATTGTGTGGGCGTGTCCTTCCATCGCCCTCCGGAGGGGGTGGGAGCTTCAAAGTAGCTGTATAGTTGAGGGGAAAGCGGCGCATACAAACAACTTGCAACAACTTTGTGCAAAAGTTTTCCGAACCTCCCCTCCCCACCCCCTCCCCGCCCCTCAGCGTCGTCGTCGTTGTCGTCACAATTTGCGTTTTTTGCTTGCGCACTTTTTGGCATTACTTCAGTGCCACAGCGGCCAGGACATACTCCGAGCCCTGTACCTTACCCCCTGCCAGGGCCATGCAAATAAATTCAAATATGCGCTCTGCGCCCGCAGGTTAAATAAATTTGGCCGCCCCCTGCTCCAGCTTTCTCATCCTGCATCCATCCTGCTTCTCCTCCTCCTCCTCCATCTCATCATCATCATCATCATCCATCCGCTGGAGAAGAGTACTCCATTCTCCAGGTCCCAGTTCAGGTTTCGCGGAGGTTAGTCCCTATTCTAATTTTATTTTTTTTTTATTTCTGTTTTCTGCACTGAAATTTATTTGGAATAGAATTAAATTTACACTGCTCCAGGGGGGGCTACCACCTCCTCCATTACACCCATCCCTGCACGCCCCTTTGACCTTTCCCCTTTGATGCAAACGAAGCTATTTAAACTGGCAGCGCATTATGCGAAACGAAACAAACTGGACACGGCTCGCTGCCACTCTCTCTCTCGCCATCTCTCTGCGGGTCTGGTCCCCGAATGAATTAACTGCTCGGGAAGTGGCCAAGAGCAGCTGACTCTATAATAGCCAGTTTTGCAGTTTTTCAGGTAATAAAGAACTGGCAAGTAGCTCTTGGCGAGGTCTACTTAATAGGCTTAAAAACGGAGGCCTAGGTCTAACCTCATAGCCTAATATCACAGCTAAACGAGCTAATCAGGTACTCCAGATGAGTATAAAATACTTTGATACTAATATTAATAATAATAGAGATAACTATTAATACTAACAATATACCTTCAGCTAGCCTAATATCGTAGCTTTACAAGACCCGGAACACCCAAACAGCCAGAATTAAAGTCCACAAGGATCTACTTCAATAACTACACAGCTCCACAAAAAAAAAAAAAAATTCAGAGATCAGACCATACCTCCTATATGGATTTGGGGTCGCTGAATCCGAATCCGTGGTCAGTTGGTCGCCATCACGTCAGGTTTTCGAGAAAATAACGGTTGAATAGTCGAAAAACGCCGTTTTTGGCCATTTTCGAAAAATCGTACAGCAAAATTCTGGTGTGTTACAAACCTAATTCAAAATGGAAATGAAAGGCTGATTTGTGATCTTTAAAACGAGCTCCATGACAAATTTTTCGCTTGCACCGTTAGGACAGGGGGTGCGTTTATATGTAGGCATCTTAGCAAAAAATGTATGCCGAACACAAAAATTTCAAAATTTAGCATATTCAAATAAAACATGGTACCCGGGGGTTTTTGGGGTCGCTGAATCCGAATCTGAGGTCAGTTTGACGCCATCACGTCAAGTTTCTTCATAACCTCAAAAAAACCTCAAACCTCATAACCTCAAAGTTTGACGTGATGGCGTCAAACTGACCTCAGATTCGGATTCAGCGACCCCAAAAACCCCCGGGTACCATGTTTTATTTGAATATGCTGAATTTTGAAATTTTTGCGTTCGGCATACATTTTTTGCTAAGATGCCTACATATAAACGCACCCACTGTCCTAACGGTGCATGCGAAAAATTTGGCATGGAGCTCGTTTTAAAGATCACAAATCAGCCTTTCATTTCCATTTTGAATTAGGTTTGTAAGACATCAGAATTTTGCGGTACGATTTTTCAAAAATGGCCAAAAACGGCGTTTTTCGACTATTCAACCGTTATTTTCTCGAAAACCTGACGTGATGGCGACCAACTGACCACGGATTCGGATTCAGCGACCCCAAATCCATATAGGAGGTATGGTCTGATCTCTGAATTTTTTTTTTTTTTTGTGGAGCTGTGCTATTCACCACCAACTAACCTAAAACTAACCTCACAATGTCGTATCATAGCTAAACGATACCCGATACCCCCGATAACTAAAAACTAATTAAAAATCAAAGAGAAACCCTTTGAAGATTAAATATTTAGTTAAATACTCAATTAGAAGAAACTTTTCGAGAAAAACAAAACGAAAACGTGAACTTTTTCATTTCCAAAATAAAGGAGCCAAAGGAGCAAGAACGTTATCCTGGCAGGAGCCTTTTCAAAATAAGTTTTGGCTAATGCTGGGCTTCCCTTTCCCGAGGACCTTCCCAGGCAACTCTCAACGTCCACTGGGCTATTGATATCCGGTAAGCAGGGAAAAATAACTTATTCTAATTTATTACCTACCCCAGTGTGTGTTGTGTGTGTGCGTGTGTGTGTATCTCACCTGTTTGATATCGAAAATTTACATATAAAATGGAATGAAAAGGTCCTGGGGATTTTAGCCCAAACAACAACAACAACAACAACAACAATATACATAATAAACATCTCATCAACTTCTAAGCGAAAGCTTCGAAAAAAAAAAGTGAATACACTTTGCGCCACACTAAGAGCTACAGCACTAGAGTGAAAGAGAAAGCTGGACAGCAGAGAAAGGGAGACAGATAGAGAGAAAGAAAGAGAGGGGAGTCTGTAAGTGGGGCCTTTGGAAAGTTACGGTAAAATTAGGCAAACGTTGGGAGTTTGAAAACCAGGCAAACATTTCACAAAATTAAACACAAAACACTAGCACACACACAGAGCAGAGCACAGACTACAGAGTGAAAGAGATGGCACAAAGATAAACAGAAAGAGAGGGAGGTAGAGAAAAGGATGCAGAGAAAGGGAAAAAAGGAGGATTATTCGGCTGGTTCAGTTTTTGGGCTTCCCGGGGCCTCAAATACAATCCATTGCGTATACGCCGCATAGGCACCGAGAAAAAATTAAATGTCTTTAGTAAAAATGTGCTAGAAATGATATTTTTTTGAAATTGTTAGCCTTTTAAGTTAGGTTCTGTTTTAAAAATCAATCACTGATAATAATTTTAATTTCTCTCTCTCTGTAAACATTTTTTTTGTGTGCCTCTGATTCAATAAACTCGCATAAGGATATGGCTGAAAGGCATGAAGAGGAGGAGGTACAGGACTACAGGATGGCAAAGGCTACAAATCCCTCTTAGCGCAAATGAGAACATATTATGAGCGATATGGAAACGGACGGGCATCCATCCAGCCATCCATTCGAACATTCGAGGGCATCGATGCGCGTTTTGCAATCGTTGGCAGAAATAAATCGATTAAATCTTCTTTAAAATTTTCAAACCCCAAAAAAAAAGTAAAATATTTGTACATATATGCCAGAATATCCTCAGCAATTTCCATAACGAAAATGAAAAGCCCGAGCCCCAGTCCCCTTCAGCGTCTCAGTCCCAGTTCGAATGTTGACCCAAAGCCCCCCATCCGCCCTACCGAAGTAACCCTCCTCGCTGACCCAAAAATGCCAGAATTTTCTGAAAGCTGGGGCGGGGGCGGGCTGTGTGCAATTTCTGTTTGCATTTTGCGCATTTGAAATAGTCCTGCAGCAAAATTATATCGAATTTTTGTGCCCATTTGTGCCCCAGACAGGATATCTGGCCAATACATCATTCGAATGCCAGATACCAGATACCAGAGACCAGATGCCAGATGGCAGATGGCACTTGAGCAATTAAAAAACGAGGTCGAAGGGCAAAAGTGCAAAGCTCAATTGAATTTGTCCACCTTGTCCAGAAATATTCCAAATCATTCCTTTAGCCGACAATGCAATTAAATTTTGCAACCAAATCGACACCGATACACAGGATATCGTTGCGGAAGTACTAGCCTTGTATCAGTAACGGTATCTGTAGCACAATCTGATACTGTATCCTGTAACTGTATCTGTAACGGAATCTGCATTCATATCTGCAACTAGGCAACTCTACAAATGCATTTGTGTGGGTGTGTGGGAGTGTGAGAGTGTGCTTGTGCGAATCAATCATGTAATGGCATTTCGTGTGGGAATACAATCCACTGAATGATTTATTGGCCTAGAACACAAAGCACACACACAGTTATAGCCATAGCCATAGCCATATCCATGGCCAGAGATAGAAAACTTTCCTTTTTTTCCTCCCATTTCCCCCGATTCCCAAGCAATTGAGTTTTTGATTTTCGGATTTTTGGATTTCAGGACTCTTGACTGCCTTTTTGATTGCCAATTGAATACTTTTTTGTTTTTTTTTTTGCGAAATGGAATATCTAATGTTCAAATTTTACTTTCATTGCTGTGGTTAGCAGTAGCTGGGTCTACTCAGCCCCTGAATAATCGGAACTATGATGAAAATCAAACAGAAATCTGAAGGCTTCTGGAAAATATTTGCAAATCATTTCAAATGTGTGAAGTAAGGTTTAGGGTTCTTAATTGAATTTTTAAGCGAGTGTTTGTCTTTATTCTTCTTTTCTATTAAATATTCAAAACCTTTTAAAGTTCAAAAGTCTTCCTAGTTAACTCTTAAGTAGCTCCTACAGTAGCTTTGGCTTCTCGGCCTATTTCCCGACATTGTGGCTTTGAAATTGCTTATTTGGCTTAGTGGGCGAGGATGGTTAACCGCAACAGGTTATTAACCATAACCCTCACTCACACAGTGGCTCCAGTGTTGTAAAGCATCAAGTGATTTAACATAGGTACATATTTTAAAATATATTTAACCTCTAATGTGTTAAAAATATTGCAGCAGTTACCAGTACAAAAACAGCCAATAATGAATTTAAAATTTAAACTAATTTCCAATTAAATTATAGAAGCAATAGGTCAACATATAGACAACATTTGGAGGACAATAAGAGGACGAAGTTAAACCCTGATAACCGCTCAAGGGTTAACAACAGGCATGTTAGTCAACACTGCTTCACTCTAAGCTTTCGTTTTGTGGACAGACTACCTTTTTTATGGAAAATGTGGAACTAGTACCTTCTTTTTCGTCTTTTTAAAGGTCCTACTTATTAAGCCCTATTTAGAAACCTATTTCACCCAGTTACTATCATTAAGTAACTTATCCATTACGGTGGTCTTTCCCAAACATATTTAATGGCCAGAAACGATCATTGTTACGAAATTCAATACAAAATAAATTTGATAACTTGAGAAAACTCATTTTCCCCGGGAATCTGGCCTCTGAACCCCACTCTAAGCCCCCTTTTTTGTCAGTAAGGGTATATCTGTGACTAAAGTTCAATGAAAATGTGTGTGTTTTCAGGGCTGGCTGAGCGGATGGATGGCTGGCTGGGCTGGAGGGAAAAATCAATAAACGAAAATTGCTGAAAATAAAAAGAAAAGAAGACGCATAAATATCACAAAAACAAAAAAAAAAACACGACAAACAAAAATGGGAAGAGCACACGCTGTCTCTGTTGCGCTGCTCATAATTTGGAAAGGAAACAAAAAAGGACGAAAAGGACTATCCTGTTTGAGGCAGAACTTTCGCCTTGTGTTCGCCTTGTCGGCGTAATTCGCTTTTTACGGCCAGCTTGCAGCGCTGCCGGTGGGAAGGTCTACAGGATACAGGCCTCGGCTCAGGATGAGCATCGGCCCAGGACAGGACACAAAGAGCCTCGAAAGTTTTGCTTTATTGTTTCTAAAATGTGCTAAAGTAAAATAAACAAAAGAGCCGCCAAAGACAGATGCTCTCCTGCGAGGAGGGGCTGGAGGAGGGGCTGGAGGAAGGGTCTCCTGCCTGTATTTCTTAGCCCAAGAATCCTTTTCGGCATGTGCTCACTGCTCACCATAAAAAATAAAGTTAAACCACACCGGTTGGCAAGATGAAAACATCAGCCGGGTGCTGAACCCGAAAGTCAACCCAAAAAAAAAAAACACACAGCCCTTTTCCCAGGATTTTTCTGTTTACTTTTTTTTTTGTATTTATTCTTTTTTTTTGTTGCGGAGGCATTCTAATGAAAACATTGCGTGAAAGTGAGAACTAAACATTAAGCAAACAAAAAGCCAACACTCGCCCGCACACACAAGATGCACAATAAACAACAACAACAACAAAAAAAAAGAAATAAAAAACAGGAATATTAAAAAAAGGGTTGAACTCGGGAGGAGCAAACAAAGAGCGACCACTAGGGGGCGGAACTCTGTGGCCAAGATCCTGGATCCTGGAACCTGTTATCCTCGCCCTCGTGTATGCAAAGCATTCGGCACAAAAAAGGGGGAACGCATAAAAAAGAGGTGGAATTAAGAAAGCCGAGTGGCAAGTGAAGTGAAGAAAGCAATAAAGCCGAGGATTCGAAGCAGGACTTTCAGGGGAGAGGCTATTTAAGCCAAGGGGGGTTCTACCATACAAGACAAAGGGAGCAAATATTTATTAATATATAGTTTTTTGAGGAGAAAGTTCTTTGATTTAACAGCTATATCCTTTGATATCCTCGCAAATCGCGGCACATTCTGCCAGGTGCCAGGTGGTAGGTGGCAGGTTTTAGGCCTCGCTGGCGGTGCCTGGCGGTGGTGGTGGCAATAGCACGAGTAGTAGTTTGGTTTCGATTTCAGGACCCGTTTGTGAGTCACATCATCCCCAGCTCCCCACCGCAGCCAGCCACTCGTTTGTCCTTTGTCCTGAGAGTGTATGTGTCCTGTCATGTGTGACGCGTGGTTAAAAATTTGATATCCTTGAGCGCCGCCTAGGCAAAAACAAAAACAATACCCCCACAACACACCACACTTTTGCTTCAATGTATTATTTTGTTCGGTCCCTCTCTCTCTCTCTCTCTCTTGGGTTTTTGTATAAAAAGTAATTTGAGAGAGACGGCTGTAGGCGGAAGGACTTGAAGGACGACGGCAAATTGGATCGAAGACCAAGTCAATTGAGAGCCCCCGAAAACAAAAAAAATCAATGACTTGTATGGGTCAGGGAAGAGATATATGTATAGTATATAGTACGTATGTGTGTCAGTATACAGAAACAAAGAGCTGTACTTTGGGCCGTGTAATGTAATTTTAGCCACAAACTTTTGCCCAAAAGGCTCTCAGCCAGAACTGATTGGAAATCATAAGCGAGAGACAAGGCTATATAAGATGAAACTTGATTTAAAGCTGGGAATTGTTGCCCCAAAAGGGCGGCAGGAGGCAGGATTCAGGAGGCAGATAACTTGCAATTTCTATCTAATTTCAAAAGTTGCAAAGTCGCATAAACTTTAATACCCCCGCGTCCTCATCCTCATCCACATCCACATCCACATCCGTTTTAGTTGCATGCGGACATTGTGGCCATGGCTAAGGTGCACAAACACAAACACACACCAAACATGCCCCATACCTCCGGCATGGTTGGAACGATTTATATGCGTTGCACGCAGCTGGAAGAGCAACTTGAAAAGGTGCACTGGAATTATGAATCCAAAAACCTAGATATTTGGGTTCTTAATGGTATTAAACATATATTTAAGGATAGGGAATAAGTACATTAAAAATATTTAAAACTATCAGAATATAAAGTTATGAAGTGAAATACACTATTCTAGAAAGTTTCAGACTTTTCTAAGAAGCCAGATCTCAGTTCTCAGAGTTAGGATTCCTTGAACTTAAAAGACCGAATACGAGCTATAGAGTAAGAAAGGTGTAGTGTTGGAAATCATCGAAATATCCCCAAACCCACATCCCGTTCCTCCCAGTGCCGAAATGAACAAACGAAATGGCAAACCAAATGGCCAAAGTGCACTGGAATTGGGGGATAATGCAACTGGACGAATGCGAAAGGATACAAAGGACACAGGGTCAGTCAGATGCACACTCACACACACACAATAAAGCAATAAAAGCGCTCTCAGGTAGGCAGGGAAAACTCGCCTCAATAAATAATATTTTTCGGCTCGCTTGGGTTGTGAAAGTTAAAAGTTTTGTGTGACCATAGTCCTGGGCCTGAGCCGGGGCCAGGATATGCCAGGATGTGCAATGTGTGAGGTTGTGCCAGAATGTTGCCAGCCCTGTGGCACTGCTCCTGTTTCCAGCTCCAGCTCCGGCTCCGACTCCGGCTCCGGACCCCCGGGGTAGCCGGGGCCACGTTTTTATGGGCAAATGCAGTGGCATGTTTCGCATAGCGTGTGTGCAACATAAATTCACTTACCTGTCGCACACACAGACATAAATACAAATAAAAACACAGACACACACGCAGGACGAAGGATACACGCGTTGCAAGTGCAGGTGCAGGTGCAGAGCACGTGTGGCAAGTCTCGTAACCGTTGCCTGGTTTATGGAAATTAAGCATGCTTTTTTATTCGCATTCAAAATGCCGAGTTGAATGCTCAATGCCACACGGATCACAAACGCAACAAGGACATTTTAAGGATTAATTCAAGCGACAATTTTAATTGATTTTTAAGAGGAGAAGCGACAACGAAAATCACAAAAATACCGACAGGATTTGGCAAGAAAAGCAGCCCGAGATAATGAGGCAACCGGGAGGCGCCACAATCAGTTGCAATTTCCGGTGCACACACATGCTCACATGCAGCTAATGGCTCCTGGAGGGTATGTGCCACTTCGGTGCAGCAGCATGTGCCCGGGATGCACACATTCCACTCCGCTAGTCGGTTGTTGTTTTTTCACCATTTTGGTTGAGAACAATGCTCTAGCTTCCCATATTTGGCCACAGCAAACATTTATTGCTCCACACACACACACACGCTCCTTCCCAGGACTCCAACAACAACAGTAACAGCAGCAACAACAAGAAGAAAAGGATACGTTCCTTTTCAAGAAACCTGGGGAGTGGAAATCGCCATACAAATGTGTAGCGAACAATAAGAACAACACTGCCACAGGAACAGGAACAGGAACAAGAACATCAAGGACTGGGAGGACTGCCAGGACTGGGAGGACCAGCAAGGACCGCCAGGACAACGACTAGGCGGGCGACAATTGCAACGTGTCAAAGCGACGTTCATAGCATATTAGTTAAGCACACACACGGACAGGCAACTAGGTGGCAAGTGTATGGCTGTGCCAGTGTGAGTGTCTCTATGGGCCCACGGGGCGTATGCGCAACATTTTCCGCAACCCACATCACAGCATCCATATGCCGATCTGCAGTTTCTTTTCGAAAACACACGCTTTTTCTGTCTGTGTCTTTAAGCCAAAACGTAAACGCAATTGGAAAATTGTTAGCGATTGTTCCCCCCCAACAGGACCAGCCAGATTTTTGCATCCTTGATATCCTGCTCCCTCTCGGGTTCTCTCCCGCTTTTTGCGCGCTTTTCCCGCAGAGTCGAGTCGAAAAAAGCAGCCAAACAAGTGGACCAATTACCAAGGAAAACTCAAGTCCAGCTCGCCAGATGTTGCGGTCAATTAATAAGCTCAGGTAGCTGATCCTTTGACTCCTTTAGCAGCCACCGTAAAGGGGCACTTTGGCTTCGAATTCAAATTCGAACTCTTGAGCTCCCCGCGAAGGAGAAGTTGGTTTCTTTTGTTATTTGTTGTGTATTTGGGTTTAATATTCTCCACAAATATTTCCCTAACCAAGTAGTCCATGGACTGTGCTTGTCAAACTCAACTTGTGTCAGAAAACCGAGAACGAGACTCCAGTCAGTCGCATTCGATGCCTAGCTCAGTTCACACAGCTACCAGTTAGCACAGCTAGGCATCGAATTTTATTTATTTTTTGTTTTTTGAATTTAAATTCAATCAAAATTTATTCGTTTTGTAAATTCAGTGTGGGCACAAGTGCCTAAAAAACATGTACGAGAATTAAAAGGTGAATTAAAGGTGAGTAGTCTCTCTGTCTGAAGTCTGCAATCTAGAGCAGGAATGTTCTGCAGACTCTACCAGTGAGGGAAGAAGGAAGAAAGCGTGGACTACACCAGAAGGAAGAGGCTTCTGCTCGGGATCAGGCTTCCGATTGGAGGGAAGAGACTCCTGCCAGGGCGTCAGTCAATCAGCTACGACTTGACCTATAGCCTTAGGTCTGTTTGGAGAGAAGAGACTAGGTACTCAACAACTAGTCGCCAGTTACCCCACAAGCTTTGGCCGTAACCATCACCAAGGATGATGTCTGGAGAGAATGGGCCTCGGGCTCTGGCCCGAGAAGGGGGCTCGGGCGTTAGCTAAACAGCAAGCTACGCCAGATCTACAGCCTTAGTCATCATCAAGCCCGGCAGCGTCCAATCAGAAGAAACTCACAAACAAAGATAGGCCATGCCCGAAGCGGGGTCAACTGGCAACAGTCTCGACAACGATCAGTGCTTGGCAGCAGTGGAGCATCCTAGTCCTGGTCCTGGTCCTCTCAACTTTATCGTCTTCGTTGAGCTCACTGGTCGAGCTACCAGATGCAGGTAAGCATTCTTATTTGTCCTTGAAGGCAAAGGCTTATAGCAACTCTACTCATAGATGGCGCCACGTTCACAGCTGGCGGATGATGCAGGAATGAAGTGCAAGAAGCATCCCAAAGGTCCAGACGATCTTCTTCCAGAGTCTGGAAGCTTCTGGGTCTATGCTTCTGTTGAACCAGCAAGTTTATGTTTAAATGTACATATCGGAAACATTTCGGAATCTGTTTAACCTTTTTTATCGAAACACTTTGTTCTTACGGACAATACTTTAAATGTTTTAAAACTTGGTATGTTTTACAGACACTACACTCAACACTACACTAATCGTTTTAACTTTGGCAAAAAAATAGATATTCTTCAATATAATACTGTACTACACTACACTACACAATACTTGGACGATATGATTCTTTTATGACCCTTGAAGTGCACAACTTAATGTTGAAAACATAAGCTTGGCCTGAAAACGCAGCTTTCCAAGACATCCACACCATTCACACACAACCAGCTCTTGGAAATATGTGTTTTTGTTAAATATATTTTATAATGTTATAGATTAAATACTTTTTTTTGTGTTTAATCTCTGGAGGTATCTCTGCGAAAAGGATTGAGGAGTAATTAGTGAGCAGCCATCAAGTTAATGCAATCAGAATGGGGACTAGGAGGGGGACTAGAGTAAATACACTTCGATTAACGCTAAATTAGCTCTCGCTGAACCGGGCACAGATCGAACAAAAGCCAGTGACGAAGGACGTGGGCAACGATGACGACGATGAGGATGAGGATGATGACTATGACGATGACGACAGCGACAGCGACAGCCAGCAGGATGGAAGCTGGGAGTTTGGAGATGGGGCTGCCGATTCTACCCACTTATCTCACCGCCAGGCTCTTCTTTGTGCACTGTCAGCCCCATTGGCCAATGCATTCGGCTATGATTCATACAAAGTACAAAAGATGCAGATGAAGGATCGGGACGGGACGGGACGGGGAGTGACGCGAACTTGTGGGTTGCGGATAAATAGATGTATAAGCGGGCTCTCTATCTATACCAGAGAGAGAGCCAGAGCCAGAGCCTGTCTGGCAATTTGCTAGCCTCACAAAACAAGTCCCTGACCCCAAAAAGTAGGCAACAAAAAGCGTTGCCTGCTTTGTCAGCTTCCCGACCAGACCCCACTAGCCCCAGAGCCCTCACCCCCACCCAGGGCTATGCTAATAACCAATATTTTAGAGCCAAACCGCCGTCTGCCGTTGAAATTGTCGCCACCAACAATAGAAACAACAACGGGGAAAAAAAAAGAAAAACACACACACACACGAGCAAACTTTTCACAGATAGCTGAATCATCGGCAGACAAAGGATATGGCAGGACGTGTTAGGGGTGAGGGGCGGGGTGGAAGTACAAGGCATTAATTTAACAGGATAATTGAAAATGAATAGTTGGATGGGGGGGAGGCGAGAAAGGGGTTGGGTCGGAGCGGAAGGAGCCGGCGACAAATCAATGCGGAACCAGGAAGGGACCGGAGATAATAATTTAGAGAGAACTTCCCGAGGACTTTGAGGGCCTTTATGGGGGATATTATAAAGAACTAGATCCTGTTTATGGAATTATATAGCTTACCTTTAGCCACAAGCTCATATGCCTGATGGTCAATGGAATATTTCACAGTGCCTGCGGGTTCGATTCGATTATTTTGGTTTTAAAATTGTTGTATTTTTTTTTTGTGTAAATTGTGTTTTGTTTTATTTTAGTTTTAGTTTTAGTTTTAGGAGAGAATTTTTACAGTAAGAATTGATGGTTAGAAACACTTTAGGCTTTGGATGACTATATAGACATATCTATATATATAATGGCATACATATAGACATTTGTTTAGATTTTGGGTTAAGGTTTTTGAGATTTAATTCAAAAGTTAATTAGTTTGTAGCTGTTGTTGTTGTCTGGTTTGTTGTTTCTTTTGTCAGTTGTTCTGTTTAGCTTCGAAAATTGTTTCAAAACAGAACGAACGAACGAACGAACGATGGAACGAAGAAAACGAACGCATTAAACGAACTGGGCAACTATGAGAAACGTGGAACGTGAAACGTGAACGGAAACGGAAACGGAAATTATGTAACTGTTTACTGGACTAACGGGTTAAAGTACTGAGTGTGTTTTCTCCAATGGCTGATCCACCGATCACATTCGATTCTCAGAGTGTGTGCGTGTTGGGTATGTGGCATTCACAAACGATAATAATCGATAGTTTCGATAGAATCTCATCGGGAAGCATGCATTATTAAGGAGCTCTATAGAAAAAAAGCAAGCATAAGAGTTGGTTTGTTTTTTTTGAGTGTAGTGAGGGCGGGATCTTATTTACATTTAAGAAACATTTTGTAGAGGGATTTGTAGGATGTTTTCCAGCCAATCAGTGGGAGCTTTTCTCTTTCAAGAACCAGGAACCATCTTGAGAACTTTATGCTTTTCTCAGGCGGTTTTCCGCTTCCTTTTTCTTGTTTTTTTTTGAAAACTTTTGAGTGGGAAAGTTGATGTTTTTCATAAATTTTTTTGGCGGGGAGAGGAGGTTAACGGAGTGAGTAAAGTTCAAGGCATGTTAACTAGACAGAACAAGAAAGACAGACAGAGTAAGACGGAGAGTATACGTAAGAGATAGAGCATATAAGGCAGAAAGAGAGAGAGAGAGAGAAGAGTACTAGTTGTAGTATATGTTCTATGGAGTGTGGTTTACTTAGTGGTTTTTCAAGAGAGTTCTAGATCTAAAGTGGCAAACACGGCAAGACAAACTCGGGGAGGGGAAGAAAACGACTTTAGATTCATCGGGAGAGCTAGAGCTACACTAGATGCTATATATGCATGGTATAGTATATTCTATAGGTTAGGTCGAAAACGAAACATCTATTAAACATTTGGTGTGCAGCTCACATTTCATTTCGACTGACGACATTTTGGACAATTGGACACGGAATCTGGTAATTGGTAATCTGGGCTCTGCCTTTCTTGCTTTTTTGATTGCTGGCTTATTGGTGGTTGTGATAATAACAGTTACTAGTAGCTTTTAGTATTTATTGTAGTTGTAGTTGTAGTTGTAGTGGTGGTGGTGATAATGGTGAAGGTGGTGACTGGTAGTGGTTATGGTAGTAGTACAAGTAGCAATTGTTTATATTGTTCTTATTGGTATCAGTAGTAGTAGTAGTAGTAGTAGTAGTAGTGGTGGTGGTGGTGGGCGGTGGCATTAGCGGTGAACTAGCTGGAGAACTAGCGGCTAGCGGGCGAGCGAGCGAGCGAGCGGTGAGCGTGGGGCGGTGGTGGGTGGTGCAACGTTTATCAGCCGTTCGAAATTCTCAGTTCACTATAAGTTCTTACTTTTCTTTTAGTTTTTATAGCTTTATGTTTGTGGCAACTAAAAAATAGGCGCTAGTTTATTATTTTTCACTCCAAATCGTCTTTTTTTTATTTAGTTTACTACGAACAACGTACAACTTTGAAAGCAAAACTGAATAATGGTAAAAGAGTGCCAATGACACCAGGAAGTGGAAGTGGTGGGGGGCGCTTGGGGCGCCTGGTGTTGGGGGGTGGTGTCTCGGTGGTTTGTTGTATGGCTGCGATGACGTCGACGGACGGCAAGTGGTTGAAGTGAAGTTTTTCGAAGGCAACGTGGCCGGAGCCAGCCAGGGGGGAGGGGGGTGCTCCGTGGCAGTGGGGTGGAGGCGAAGGTAAGGGACGGCAGGGAGGGTCCGGAACAAAAAATCAACCCTCCGCTTGACAGGCGCTGCTGACTCAGAGCGAGAGAGCAATACCACTTGCCAAGGCAAACGAATAACAACAAAAACAAATAAAACAACAACAAAAAATAAAAAAATAAATAAAAAATAAAATAAAAATAAATAGAAATACAAAAGCACAATCACACACACGCTCAGATAACGTTGAATCAGTTAACGGTTAAGGACATTCGGAGATCAAAAGTTTGAGCAAAAAACGATCACAGTGTTCCAATTTCGTTTCTGTTTCTATTTATTAAATATTTTCCATTTTCTATTTACATTTTATTTCTTAATTTTTATTTATTTTATTTGTTAGGTGTGTGTTTGTTATTATCCTTGCGCTACTGTTCCTCAAACGGACATACAAACTCATACACACACACACACTCTCGCACAGGCACGCACACTTTAAGCACTGACACTGGAAAAAAATATGTGTTGTCCTGGGACTGGGGACTAGGACTTTTTTGGGGGGGAACTCCCTGCGTACGCTTTGCGGACCCGTGACTCGTCGGTAGCGCGTTCGAATAAGAACTGAATCGGAAATCTGAAACCGAAACCGAAACTTCCAAAAATCACACAGGACTTGGCGAGAACGCGTCCAAGGAGCTACTGAGCGTAGTGCGAAAGGGATGCCAGTAGCGACCGGAAGTAGGGCTGCGCTGTTAACTTAACAGTGGTCTATGCTACTGTTAATGCGGCCATTAACGTTAACCCTTTGCAGGCAAAGTGCTTTGATTTCAAGAGCTCTTTTAAAATTAGAAACAAAGTTATTCAATTATATTGGGCTTATATTTTTAAATGTATATTTTAAAAGAAATCCCTGAGGAGGTACCAATTTCTGGAAGGATCCAACCTAGTGTTAAGCTGCAAAGGCTAACAGCTTTCCTGTTAACTGCTATGTGAGACAACCGCTTTCTCTCACAATCCTTGCAAGGGAGAAAGTAAATGAGAGCCAGAGAATGAGAATAACAGTAATCACCAGAAAGGGAGAGAGAGAGAGTGACGCATGAGAAGAGAGTGCGACAAGTGGCGGTCAGTTTGAATTTTATTTTGTTTTAAAACTTTCGCAATTTTATTGTTTTTCAAAAATATTTAATAATTTCTTTAGTGAATATTTTAAACCAAAAACTATACAAATTTGTTGTTTAATTGTTATAAAATATAAAGAACATCTTTAAAATATATTTATTTTTCTCGAAAAGCTTTCGGGGCCTAAACATGTGACTAATCCGGCAGGAAATTTTTGTTTCAGGCTGGCAATGTTGTGCTGAGCAGACTTTTGTCTGCAATATTTTGACATTTCGAAGGGCAAAAGAGCGAAATAGTGTCTGACAAAGTGTGTGATGGGGCGGGAATTCGGAATAACAATAAAAATTTATAAATTGTGTGCTCTCTCTTTCTCTCTCTCTCTCTTTGTCTCATCTGGTCTTCCTCTTGCACTTTCCCTTCTCTCTCTCTATCTGCCTCTCACTCGCACTCGCACTCTTTACGCGAAAAGTGTGATTGTCAAAGACATGTTGCTACACAGTGCGTGGTTGTGTGCGTGATTGTTAAATATTGTAGCATACTTAAGTGCGGCAGGACTTAATTAATTAACAAATTAAAACTGCTCGCCTGGCCAGAGGAAATCGGACAGGAAATTCGTTAAGCTGGCCACTGTCAATAGCTAATCAGGCTAACACTTTATATAATAAGTACTCTCTCAGCCACACTCATACACATTACACACCACGCACACACACACTCAAAACACACACACACATTGAGAAGTTCTGGCGAACACGCGCGCGTTTATAGGCCGCCGACGTTATGGGTCGAAATTCAATTTCTGTCTTCAATTATCGAATAAAATTCGCCAATAAAAAAAATGATGCGCTCCACTCTTATTATATTCACGTTTTTATTGATTGATCTATAATATTACTGATTTGTGTATATGGGGATTTGAGATTTGTTTATGATCGTATCTATATATTTATTTGCGATGGTTTTTTTTTGTTTTTTTTTAGATTGTATTTATCGTAACTATTTGAGTACCGTTAGGGGGCGCTTGCCTCACGCTGCAAAGTGCTCTAATGGCAGAGAACGCACTGAAACTAAGAATTCAAAAATCGGGGGAAACCCGATTCCCCGAGAACCTGGCTCTGAAGTCATGCCTTTGACATTTGCAACGTGTTAACCTCGCCACAGAGAGCATAACAGTTGCCGAGAGAGTAGGTAGGTAGGCTGTGAGAGAAAGTCAGAGCGGGGGAGAACCACCCTTGCGCAGGCGCTCCAGAGCCACCCCCTTTATTCTGCGGCTCAGCTGATTGGTTGCCTCGCCTTGCATCCGACAGATGGAGCCACGCGCTATGCTTTATGTGTCCTTAAGGACATCCTAAGCTCTCCAAGCTCTCGCCAAACTTGATCTTCAAGTTCAGACACAAGCTTGGAGCTTGAAAGCATGAAAGCTGGAAAGAGACTCAAGCTGGAAAACTTTGTAACAGCTTTTTATATATATATTCCCGATCTTCCTGAAAAGTACAGCTGATTATCTCCCAGTGCACATTCCTAAACGATTTCATCACGGCCTAATCAAGCACTCAGGTGTGTCGAAACCGCTTGCATGGCGACCGTGACCGCTCATACAAATAATAATGACGACGACGAGGTGGAACTTGGTGGCATCGAGCCTACACCTTCTGCTGGTTACTTCTTGCGGATCAGCCACTCCACCAACCAATAGTTCTCCTGTATATCCCCAAGTCGAGGTCAGACCCCACAAGAAAATAGTGCAGGATATACGACCTTTGCACTACAACCTCAGTCTGCTCACTGTCGTGGATTTGAAAAACCCAAAGGGCATATTTAGGGGTGAAGTCACAATTCGATTGCGTGTGTGGATCGAATCACGGACCATTGTGTTGGGAGTCAATGGATTGAAAATTGGCCCAAAAGTTTGGTTGATCCGCAGGACGACCGCAAGGAGGGTGACAGTAAAGTCTCTTTGGAAGGAAGTCCATCAGCATACGTTCGGCATCGACTTCAACAGCCGTCTATGGCTAGGCGAGGAGTACGAACTCACTGTGGAGTTTAGTGGCCAGATGTCCAGCACGAATCGAGGCTACTTCACGGAGCAGTACGTCGACAACAACAAGCGACAATGGGTGACGGTCACCCAGCTGTCGCCCAATATGGCCAGCAGTGTCTTTCCCTGCTTTGATGCCAGTTACCGGACACCGTTCACCCTCCATCTGGCCCATAGCCGGGAGATGCAGGCCGTCAGCAATATGCCTATTCTAAGAACCGCTGAGTTGGGCGAATTCTTGTAAAGTAACTCAAAGTTCTCAAGGACTTTTCATTGCAGACACGAAGACGACAATTATGTGTGGACGAGCTTCCAAGAGACACCCAGCATGACCGTACAGCAGTTGTCCTTTTCCATCAACCAGTTTAAGGTGCAGGACTCTCCCGAGGCTCGTTCCGATCCCTTGATGAAGTTCTGGTTCCGGCCAGCCAAAGCTGAACACTCTGCCTATGCTATTAGTCTGTCTACTAAGTTAATAGACTATTTCGTGGATCTATTCAAGTTGCCGTATCCCATGGCCAAGCTGGATCAGCTGGTCCTGCCAGACGTAGGCCTTCATGTGAGAATAGGTCCGTCGATGAGGGTTGATACTTATGATATTGTTTTTTTAGACCCTAGACTACGCTGGATTCGTCGCCCATCCGGAGAGCGTGTTCTTGTACAGTGAGAAGCACGCAACGGCCCCCTCGAAGCAGGACGTGGCGGCCCATTTGGCCAGGAAGTTCTCCCACCATTGGTTTGCCAATCTGGTCGATGCCGGAAACTTCTGGTTGGGCGAAGGCCTGTCCGGCTATTTGGCCGGGTTCGCTGTGGACCAAGTGGAGCCCACGTGGCGCCATCATGAGACGGAACTGGCGACCAAGACGTTCGCAGTCCTGGACGAAGACTCACGGGCCAGTGCCCAGCCAGTTAGCTTCGCCCGCGGCGCAGGACCTATGGATTATGAGTTGCAGGCCTATCAGAAGGGCTCACTGCTGTTTAGGATGCTGCACTTTTTGGTGGGCACAGAGGTGGGTTCAGTTGGGTTTCCCTTTGTGGGTCACATTTATGTCCTTCGTATCCTGACAGGTTTTTACGAACTCGCTGCGAGGTTTTATGAAGAGCTCACTCAAGGAGAGCTCGAACCAGACACTCTTGTGGATATATTTCCAAGAGGAGTCCGAGCGCGCCTTGAGCTTGCGCCAGGACATTCGTGTGGGCCCGCTAATGGAGTCGTGGACCTTGCAACCGGGCTATCCCCTGCTGCATGTGAGACGGAACTATGATAAGCGCGAAGTAACCATTTATCAGAAGCGGTTCCTGTGCAATCCGAGGGGCAGTGCCACCGGCCAGAAGCCCACCAACCGCCAACATTGCTGGTATATCCCATTGACGTTCACCACCGCCGCCCGGAACAGTTGGGCCCACACCCTGCCCACCGATTGGTTAACCTGCAGTCACGTAAGTCCCGAGAGTCCATTAACGCTTATCGACGTGGCGGAGCCCAACGATTGGGTCGTCTTCAATCTACGACTGGGCGCACTCTGTCGCATCAACTACGACGAACGCAACTGGCAGCTTCTGAACGAGGCTCTGATGGGCGAGAATGCCACCCAGATAGATCGGTTTAGTCGGGCCCAGTTACTGGACGACGTCCTCAATCTGGCCGGTGCCGGTGTTGTTGGTTATTATCTGGCCTTTTCCTTTCTCCGATACCTGCCGAGAGAGAACGAGTCTATTGTTTGGAATGCGGTAGCGAGGAATCTGGAGTGGCTGTTCCGTCAACTGCAGACCACTCCGATAATCTTTGTCTTTAAGGTGGGTAAGCCGTCTTTCGAATAGGTGTCATAGCTCGAAGAACGCTTATTTGACAGAACTTTCTGCGTGGTGTCCTGGAACCAAAGTTCAACGAATTGTTCCCGTCATCCGAAGCCTCTAAGAACAACAGAACTGCTGCAGATGGCAGTGGTCCCAGCAATAATTCCACCGGAAATTCCAATTCCACTTCCACTGACAGCACTGGTAGTTCCAATACAACCAATGACTCCAACACCACCAGTACTACCCAACACACCCTGAAGACCATTGTTCTCCGTCTGGCTTGTGAAACCAACTTGGCATCCTGCGAGAGTCTGGCCCTCAGGGACTTTAGCCAAATGAACGTGACCCAAAATAACATTCCGGTGGATCAACGTCGGACAATCTACTGTACGGCGATTCGACTGGGCACCGAGGCCGACTGGATAGAGCTCCGGAAGCTGTTCAAGAGCTCCGAGATGTCCGGCGAGCGTACCATGATCCTGGAGGCATTATCATGTAGCCGCGATACCTGGGCACTTGAGAAAATGCTCATGTGGGCCTTTGGCGGGGCCAACTTGGCCAAGGTCGACGTCCTGAGGATCTTTAGTGCCGTGGTGCGCAACCCCGTGGGCTACCAACTGGCCAAGAACTATTTGATCAAAAACATTTCCAACATCAAAAAATTGTAAGGACCTGTAGCCGGGACTTCTATATATTTCATTAATAAATATTTCTTTCAGCTATTCGTTCTTTACAGATCAAATAGCAGCTCTTGTTTCCGCCCTTGTCGAGAAGATAACCACTCAGTCTGAGTTGGATTCGATTGGAGAGTTCATGAGAAATGATTTGAATGACTTGGTGGGAATCGAGCATACATCGCGACGTCTCCTGGAACTCGGAAATGACAACATAGCCTGGCACAAGAATAACTATATAAGTGTAGTTAGTGCTGTTTGTAATCTGACCGGGTCCATGGAGCCACAATGTACTTGAATGAGGCAGCAAAGTGTTTTTTCCTTCTAGCGTTTACATTGGAAGCGTCTACATTAACCAGTAGCCTGGTCACATTAGAATGTTACCAATACAATTTTATTCAACAGAACAACCCATCGAGGTAGCCTTGACTTTCTCGAATCCAGAAAACCCTCCTGGGCCTCAGAAAATGTGTCAGTTGCTGCCTCGACTGCCTCGGGTCAACATCATTTCTGATTTTTCTTTCTTATTTTATTTTATTTTTTTATTTGAATAAATTTTTATTTTTTTTAAATTATTATAAAAAGCTTGAGCCTTCTGACACAGTTAGCAGGTCACGGAGCTGGGTCTGATTTCCTAATTTATATTTTCTTCCTTTTTAATTTAATATTTTTTTTAAGCTATACTGCAATGGGTTTTCGATTCTTTATTTTCATTACTGTCTTCAACTTAACAGAAATAACAGAAATTCCTAATTTTTATTTTCTTACTTTCTTCATTTAAGACGGGTTATAAGATGGGTTATACTGTCTTCTTCATTTTTTCTTCAACATGGGGTCTGATTTCCTAATTTTTATTTTCTTACTTTTTAATTTAAGACAGTTGTATAAAGCTAAACTACTATGGGTTTTTCGTTCTTGGATTTTGGGTTATCACCTTAACAGAAATAACTGAGTTCAGTCTAAAGACTATTTTAAACCTTTTTTATTTTTTCATTTCAATTTCATTCTTATTTCTGGGCTTTAATTACAAAAATACTTGAGGTTATTTTTTTATTTTTTTATATTATATAAAAAACTATGGCATATAAATCCAAATTCACCAACGGACATTCTGGAGGGTTCGATCTTAAATTTGAAGCTTAACTTATTTTTATTTTTCAATTTTATGAAACGTTTTTTAATAATAACTACACGGAGCGGGGTCTGATTTCCTTATTTTTATTTTCTTCCTTTTTAATTTAAGACAGTTGTATAAAGCTAAACTACTATGGGTTTTTCGTTCTTTAATTTTGGGTCATCACCTTAACAGAAATACCTGAGTTCAGTCTAAAGACTTTTTTTTAAACCTTTTTTATTTTTTCATTTCAATTTCATTCTCATTATTCTGGGCTTTAATTACAAAAATACCTGAGGTTATTTTTTTATTTCAGTTGCTTATTTTTTTATATTATATAAAAAACCTTGGCATATAAATCCAAATTCACCAACGGACATTCTGGAGGGTTCGATCTTAAATTTGAAGCTTAACTTATTTTTATTTTTCAATTTTAATATTGTATTTTTTTTTTGGTAACCCTTCATAATAACTACACGGAGCGGGGTCTGATTTCCTTATTTTTATTTTCTTCCTTTTTAATTTAAGACTGTTGTTTAAAGCTAAACTACTATGGGTCTTTATTTGCGTTTGTTTCTTTACCTTAACAGAAATAACTGAGTTCAGTCTAAAGACTTTTTTAAACCTTTTTTATTTTTTTCATTTTAATTTCATTCTTGTTTATTTCTGGGCCTAAATAAAAAAAATGCCTGAGGTTTTTTTTTTTATTTTAAGTGTTTATTTTTTATTTTTGTAACCTTGGCATATAAATCCAAATTCACAAACGGACATTCTGGAGGGTTCGATCTTCAATCTTTAATTTGAAGCTTAACTTATTTTTATTTTTCAATTTTAATATTGTATTTTTTTTTTGTAACCCTGGCATCTATTATGAAACGTTTTTTCATAATAACTACACGGAGCGAGGTCTGATTTCCTTATTTTTATTTTCTTCCTTTTTAATTTAAGACAGTTGTATAAAGCTAAACTACTATGGGTTTTTCGTTTTTTAATTTTGGGTCATCACCTTAACAGAAATACCTGAGTTCAGTCTAAAGACTTTTTTTTAAACCTTTTTTATTTTTTCATTTCAATTTCATTCTCATTATTCTGGGCTTTAATTACAAAAATACCTGAGGTTATTTTTTTATTTTTTTATATTATATAAAAAACTATGGCATATAAATCCAAATTCACCAACGGACATTCTGGAGGGTTCGATCTTAAATTTGAAGCTTAACTTATTTTTATTTTTCAATTTTATGAAACGTTGTTTCATAATAACTACACGGAGCGGGGTCTGATTTCCTTATTTTTATTTTCTTCCTTTTTAATTTAAGACTGTTGTTTAAAGCTAAACTACTATGGGTCCTTCTTTGCTTTTGTTTCTTCACCTTAACAGAAATACCTGAGTTCTGTCTAAAGACTTTTTTTTAAACCTTTTTTTTATTTTCATTTTAATTTCATTCTTTTTTATTTCTGGGCTTTAATAACAAAAATACCTGAGTTTTTTTTTTATTTTAAGTGCTTATTTTTTATTTTTGTAACCTTGGCATATAAATCCAAATTCAGCAACGGACATTCTGGAGGGTTCGATCTTTAATTTGAAGCTTAACTTATTTTTATTTTTCAATTTTATTATTGATTTATTATTATTATTTTATTTTTTTTTTTTCGTACCCCTGGCATCTATTATGAAACGTCCGAAAGTATCCTAGAGGTTTCTTCATTTTTTAAAAGTTTATTTTGATTGCATCCCTGGTCGATTTATTTTTATCTGCAGCCCTGCCACCACGGAGGTCTTGGACGGCACAGTTCTCGAAGAGAGCACATGGGTGGCCCACGAGAGGGGGAGGACGGCAGGGAGACGGACAAGAAATTTCAACCCCCCCGAAGGATGGAGAAGAATAACAACACGGAAAAAATCGCTGCATACGTTCGGGCGCAGATAGCAGGACTCGACGGCGAAAGGATGGGTTGAAAGAGCGACGAGAAGAGCGTCGAGCAGGCGCAGAGAGAGCGGCAGAGAGTAACAAACACCGAAGAGCGAGAGCGCGGGAGAGTGACGCAGGCGCTCCACCACCCACAGCGACGCGGGCCGAGGCAGTGGCAGCGACAGCAACGCCGACAGAACCACCACCCGCAACGCAAAAGGAACCCACCCAGCCGCCCACTTTCCATACTGCTCGATGGCATCGAACCCCCCTACCGAAAAAATGGGGGGGGGGGGGAGGTTCTGGGTATCGCAAAACACAACAAACCGTAAACCATCGGACGCTGGCTGCGACGTCGACAGCGACGACAGCGTCAACGGCGACGGCGACGGCGACGACGTTCGCGACTGTTGGAATGACAGGACAGGGGGTGGTTCGCTGCAGACTCAGCGGGGTGGGCGACTGTGGGTGGTTAACGGCCGTGGGAGGGGGGAGGGGGTGGCAGGGCGACTTCGCAGCAGCCTTACCACCACATAAACAAAAATTCGATTTATGACCACTGCGGGAGTGGGAGAGGGCCGAGTGGCAGGAGGATACGAGTGGCGGGCTACGGACGGCAGGCAGAAGGGGAGGTTATATGGGCTTTCGCATGGATTTTGGGGGGTGGTGCCAATTCGCCATGCTTCTGTCCGTTACTTCTGATACACTGAGAGGTTATCTTTAAAGACTTTTACGCAAAAACCGGAAATAGAGACGTTTTCTTTCTGCATGCCCCGAAATGTATGCTATAAAATACGTATTTCTTAATTCTTCCACAAAATACAGTTGAAAATATTCAAAAAAATATATATTCAAATATTTTTACAGTGTATGGACTGTGACGGCCGTCGTGGCACTTACGGGCAACTATAACGGCGACAGGACTCAAGGGGGTGTCGAAGGGGGGGCCGCATAGGATACGTGCCTATGTTAGAGTTCGCGTATACATGTGTGTTTCTCTCCAAGTGTGTGTGTGTGTGTGTGTGCTTGTGAGGGAATTGGTGTGTGACAAGGCGGAGGAAAGCGGGGGGCGTGGCGGAATAAGTAGCAAAGAGAGAACGGGTGCGAGGCTGAGAACGGAACTTGGCGCAGATGACGATGTGTGGCAATGGCAGCAGCAAAAGGCATACACTGCAACAAATTGGGGGCTGTTTTAATAAGTTAGTACTATTACTAAGAAATTACTAAGGCTATTTTCATGGAATTCCCTGCGGAAATTTCATTCAGAAATGTTATCGAAGAACTGAATATAATAGCCACTAAAATAATATATTTAAAGAAACAAATTATAATTTTCAGATATGTTTTAGAATCGTTTTTAATTAAATTTTTGCTGATTTTCATTTTAATCACTTTTAGCCACTTTTTTGGTAAGTGTATTTCGCGACTAGTATCAACTACCAGCAGCACAGTTGTTGTTGCTGTTCTTGTCGCTGTTGCTGTCGTCGTCATCTCAATTCGCGCACACACACACACACACACACAGCCAGACATAGAGGAGGCAGGTTCCACCAACACACAGGACACCCGCATACACACACACAGGCTCAGGCACAGGCACAGGCACTTATACCAAGGCAAGTAAGGAATCGCGGCGTCAAAAACAGCGACAGGACACGACGATGCCGCGACTATGGCCACTGGGAGAATGAGAGAGAGAGCGAGCGCGAGAGAGAGAGGGAGAGCGAAAGCACCAGAAAGAGAGAGAGAGGGAAAGGAAGCGAGAGAAGGTGAGATGGCGAGATGGAAAGAACGAGAGCTTCCCAGTTGGACTTCTCTCCGTAATCCTGTCTGTGTGTGCTTGTGTGTGTGCGTGAGGGAGGGAGGGATGAGGGAGGGAGGCTCGCTGGAACTTTTTCGCATACTCGCAGGATATTGGGTTAGAGAGCAGTGAAGAGGAGCCTGGCGGAGGATGTGTCGTCGTCGTCGTTGCCGCTGCCGCTGCCGCTGCCGTTGACGTCTCAGTACGCGGCGACTGCGGCGGCGACGGCAACTGCGGCGAGGACATACACATAAATAAAAAGTCCTTCATTCCGTCGCGACCAGCGAGTAACGGCATATGAGCGCTCGCAGAGAAATCGCTAATCACGGCGAACGGCGGACGAAAAAGCACAAGAGGCTCCACAAATCCGCAGCACAGAAGCTAAATAATTAACCAGCCGACCGAAAAAAAAAGAAATTCTGAAAAAAAAACCCGAAAGTGTAAAGTGTGGCCCTTCAACTAAACTATTTATTTACATTATTTTTTTAACGGTTATTTTAAAGTGCAAAAAAGTGTAAGCCATGGAATAAAATAATAGTAGAAAAAAGGATAAAAAGAAAATCAGCAGGAAAACTCAAAAATCCAAGAAGCAGAAGAAGGCGAGGCGTCTGAGACCCGTCACCAAAAAAATCCCACCCCGCCCCCAACTATACTACAGCCCCCAACCACCCACCCTCTGGACACCCCTTTTTGGCTCCAACTCTCTCTCTCTCTCTCTCTGTCGCGATTTCTCTCTGTTTCTCCGAAAGACATTGGGTGGATTCTCACACCAACACACACACGCACACCCTTGTCCTTTCTCTCTCTCTTAATCACAAAAAAAAAAATAGAAAAATAGAAAAATAGTTGCAAGAAACAAAGTTATCGAAATTGCAAAGCTGTCACTCCACAACAACAACAACAACAAACCACTAAATAAAACAACAAATGTATAAAAAATAAAATAGAAATTGCGTCCTCTCATTTTTTTTATTGTGCTGAGTTTTCTATTATTTTATCGAAAGTGCTTCTAAAAAGAAAAAAAGAAATCAAAGAACTAACACCAAGAATTCAAAGAATTTTCTTGGAGTTCGAACCCCCCATTTTCCCTTTTTTTGTGCGTGTGTGTGTGCGAATGTCCTTTTCTCACGTATGCCAGATTTAAAAAATACTTCAAAAATAAAAATAAAAATATTCTAACCAGAGCAGCTAAAGGAATTAGTGGTAAAATGAATAAAATAAAAGAAAACTAATTTTAGTGAAGGTGTTCGACCCCCAAAATATTGAAATATTTCAAAAAAATTAAAAACAAGCCAGCTGTCTGGAACAGACATCGCCATAAAAAATAAATAGAAACTCTACGAAAAAATACAGAAAAGTTAAAAAGATAAAAAAAAAAATAGATAGTCTCCCCCCGCAAAAGAAAAAAGAATCCTTGTGGCAGTGTTGCCACCCGGTGCCAAAAAAAGAGGAGCCCAGCGAGTGGCTCTCGGTTGCGTCTGCTTTTCGCGCTACGCCGCAGTCGCAGTTGCACTCGCAGTCGCAGTCTCAGTCGCCGTCGCCGTCGCTGTCGGCGTCGACCGAGGCGTAGATATTCAGTTTTTTTTTTCTCTCTCCCTCATTCTCTCTTCTTCGTAGATAGAAAAAAAAAACGAGAAAAAACAGAAAATAAAACAAAAATAAAGAAAAAGAAATGCAACAGCAACAACGTCATCAACAGAAACAGCAACAACAACAACAACAGCTAGTGTAGTGTGTCGCCCAAGCGACCTGTGCGGGTGAAATAATGAAGAAGAAGCAGAAACAACAACAACAGCAGCAGCAGAGGCAGCAGCAGCAGCAGCAGCAGAAGCACAAGCAGAAGAAGCAGAGCAGGGGGGACAACGAGGCAGCAGATCGCAACAACAGCAGCAGCAACTCGCAGCAGCGTCGCAGCAGCAGCAGTGCCAGCAACAACAACAAATAGCAAAAACTGCATAGCGTTCGGCAAAGCGCAGCAACAACAACAACAACAACAATAAAGAAAGACAGCACAAGAAACACAAACAACAACAACAACAATCGCACAAAACGTTGCAATCGAAGCCAAAGTCGCAGCAGCAACAGTAGCAACAGCAGCAACAGCAGCAGCGGCGGCAGCAGAAGCGGTAGCATCGACGGCGGCAGCAACAACAACAACAACAATAATAACAACAACAATAACAGCCGCAACAGCAGCAGCTCGAAAAGCAGCCGCCGCAGCCGTCGTCGCAGCCGAAGTCCAAGCAGCGCCAGCGTTGGCAGCGACGCCAGCAGCATGTCCAAAACAAGCACAGCCGCAGCAGCAGCAGCAGCACAGGCAGCAGCAGCAGCGCAAGCAGCAGCGGCGGCAGCAAGTGCAACAAATGCCGCCGATTTCAGTGCATTCGATTTTAACGATAGCTCCGATAATTCCGATACGCCTCTAGTGCCACGCCCACCCTTCTTGAGCCGAGCCGCGGCAGCGGCAGCAGCAGCAGCGGCGGCAGCAGCTGCAGCGGCCGCACTAAGCAGCAGCAACAACAGCAACAATTCGGCATTATCGGCGGCAACTGGGAATGCCAATGGCAATGGCAATGCCACAACCAACAACAACAACAACACCAACAACAGCAGTAGCAACAATAACAACAATAACAAGAACAACAATTGCGGACGCAGTAGCAGTCGCAGCAGCAGCAGTTCCCAAAGCTCGCTCGATGAAGAAGAAGAAGACGACGAGGAAGAGGAAGAAGCGCAACAACAACAGCAACAGCAGCAACAACAACAACAACAATTGTCCACCGAACAACAACAACGAGCTGCAGCGGCAGCAGCTGTTGTGGCTGCAGCGGTAAATGCATTGCATAACGGTAACAAGCAACAACAACAACAACAACAACAACAGCAGCAGCAACACTACAACAATAACAACAACAACAACAACAATAACAGTAGCCACAAGCTAAGATTAAGCGAAGATCCGCAGCAGCAGCAACAGCAGCAGCAGCAGCAGCATGAAGACGATGATGAAGACGATTACGATGATGATGAAGAGGATGAGGAAGATGAGGATCACCATCAGGATCAGGGTAATGGACACGATCTTACGCCCACAGATCTGCGGCACATGATACACGATCCGCAGCAGCAGCAACAGTCGCAGCAGCAGCAGCAGCAACAGGATCCCATCGACTACGAGGACGAGGACGACGCCGACGACGACGAGGACGATGAGGAGGAAGAGGACGAGGCGGCCAGCAGCCGGGCCACCCTCTCCTCGGCCCACTTGAACAGCTCGGCGGCGGCCGAGAGCAGCGGCCTCCACATGAGCGCCGTGGCAGCGGCAGCAGCGGCGGCAGCAGCAGCAGCAGCAGCGGCCGCTGCAGCCAAGCTGAACGCCCAGCTGGAGCAGCAGCAGAATGCGACGGCAGCGGCGGCGGCAGCAGCAGCGGCGATCCCCCCACCCCCGCCCAGCAGTCTCCTGGGCGGCAACAGCAACACCAGCTTCTCGACGCAGAACAGCAACCACGGTGTGGGCGGCGGGGGCGGGGCCAGCAGCGGCAACGATCTGGGGGGCGGTAGTTCGCGGGGCGGCTCATCCCTGGGCGGCATGGGCGGGGGCAGTGGCTCGCACCTGACCTCGTCGCAGCAGCAGCAGCAACACCAGCAGCCACATCACCAGCAGCAGCAGCAGCACTCGCAGCAGCAGCAGCACCAGGGCGGCAGCGGGGGCAGCAGCAGTGCGGCGAGTGAAAGGCGGAAGTACCGCCACCAGAACTACAGCAAGAACATCTACATTGGCACCAAGAACGCCGAGAAGTGGGAGCACATGCGCACCCGGCTGCAGTTCAAGAACGACGTCGAGTTCGTGGCCTATCTCCTCAACTTGGCCGACAACGATACGGATCGTCTGAATAAGTAAGTGCCCTGAGAAAATGATATATATTTTAACAGAAAGGATGTCCTTTCTACAACTCTCCACATAAGATGGGTTTCTTATTAAAGATCGAGATCATTCTATATATGATCGAGGAATGTCTTGTGCATCCATCCCATGTGTGGTACTATCCTATACAATCCCCTTTCAAGATCTTTCTCTACAGGATCCCCTATATTATACGATTATATGATCTATATTATATGATCCAATACTCTCCTATATGATATTATTTATAATACAATCCTTTATGATCCTTTATGATATTTTATATTTCATTTCATTTTTGATATCAGTTTGTTTATTTTTATATTATATTTATTAATAAAATACCTATTAATTTAACAATTCTTTATGTTTTTATTAAACTTCATTTTATTATTAACTGTATGCCTTACTTTAAAATAAAAAGCTCATTAAATTATAAACCAAATCTTAAGTTTTATTCAAAAATATATTTTACAGATCTGGCAATATCATTTTGATTATTTTTTGGCATCTCTTCTTCACAAATTCCTCTTTTTTTCGGCCATACTCTTTGTTTTATCTCATGTACCGTTGATTAACCAACACACACACACACACACACACACACGGACATACAACAAGGACAAGCAGAGGAAAGAAACAAAAGCGTCCTGGTTGCTGCAAGAGATATGGCAACGCTTCGCTGGCCATGATTGTTGATAGTTGTTCGCAGAAATGCACTCACACACGCACTATACACACACACACACACAATTAAACACACACTCAGGAAAGCTTTTTGGGCGCCTCACACACACACACACTTACACACTCGGAGAATCGGCATTTGGGGTGGCTCAAGTGCCGCGAAAAAGGGGTGGATGGAGGGTTTCAGGGGGCTATTGGAGCTTGCGGGGGGTAGTGCAGCTGGCGGGGGGTTGCATGAAGAAGCTCGCCTTGGGCGGCAGCCAGGGAGGCGGGGAAAACAAACGAACGCGGCGGCGGTGGCGGCACAAAAGCGAGGCATGTAAAAGCGATTCATGCCCGAATGCATCACATCCCCCATGCGCCCACTGCGCCCCCTGCGCCACCCAATTTAACAGCGCCCGCTCCAGCCCCCCTGCGTGGCTCGGGCCCCTTTTTGTGTCGACACCGTGTGGTACAAAGGCACAAATGCGGTACTCATGCGGTTGCATGCAACGGCGCTTTCATGTTGCTTCTGCTTCGGCTTCTGATTTTGCTTTTGCCTTTGCCTTATTGCCTCCTCTTGGCTCCTCTTTGCTCTTCTTGCCTCCTGGCCTTCTTCTGAATCCTTGTTGCCTCTGTGGGAGCCTTCTGCCGCAGTCGGAGGCATATTCCGTATTCCGTTGTCGAAGCCCGTAGTCCATGGCCCGTAGTCCGTAGTCCGTAGCCCGCTGTGCTCGTTGCCGCCATGTCAGCGGAAGCGGAAAAAGCAACACACACACACACACACACAGACACAGACACAACCACACACCAACACACTCACTGTGAGCAGGAACATCGTCGAGGATGTTGCCACCGCTGGCTTGCATTTGCATTTCCATGCCATGTTGCCAATCTCCTACACCAAAAAAAAAACATCTACACTTGAAAACAATGTATACACTGAAAGAAAATTATAGGATACAAAAAAAAAAGGTTGAGAAAGTGTGGAAAAGGAAAGGAATGGGAAAAGATTATCAAAATAATTATAAAAAATATTTTTATTGAAAAACTTTCCAAATAATACAAAAATATATTCAACAGTGTATCAAAGGGAAAAGCGGAAACTGGTAAGGCATTGGCAGAATGAGATAGGGAGATGTAGCCCCACACACACTCACATGCAACTGGGAGGCTCCTTCGCTGCCATGCAACATGAATGCGTCGCGAATTTCGCTCCCCTCTCTCCCCATTTGGTGGCACCCTTGCCTTGCAACGCCTTGCCATCTTGTTGTTGTTGTTATTATTGCTGCTGTTGCATTGCAGTCGAGCGCGCCATTTGGCGCTTTGAATATGCCACACCACCACCCAGCTGCCCCTGCCCCTGCCCCTCTGGAGGCCCCCACTGGTGGCAAATACGAAATGCCTGAATCACAGTTGGTGCCTCTTGCCACATGCCTCGTGCCTCTGGCCTCTTCATCGGGCTCTTCTCGCCTGCCTAACAAGGAGGCCATTGGCCACCATATGGGGATGTGCATCCCTACCTATACAAAGACCTGCAGTGTGGCAAGCACCTTGATCATTAGAGAAGCTTGTTGCACAAACAAAATAGGCAACGAGACAAAAACAAAACATGCAACAAGAAAATAACAAAAGCTCTACGATTGAAATGGTATTTGTTTAAGAATCAAGAAGATGTTTGCCTTTTCTTAAGAGATCTGCAGGACTATGAAGAGCCTTTCTTAAGATGATGAAGTTTTCTTGAAATAGGATCTTAAATGAGATAGAAAGGAATATAATCTTTAGATTTGAGTTTCATAGAATCCTAATATAAGATTTTATAATTTTTTTTCCCTGATTTCAGTGATATTTTTTCTAATTTTTAGAAAAAGGAGGAGATTTATGTATTTTCGAAGTCTTAAAATATTAAATTTATTAAACTAGAGTCTGTATTGAAGTATAATACCGCAAAGTACATCAGAATAGAAATAGATTAGATTAGAAATTGAATAATATAGGCTGGCCTATATAGGTATAGTTTTTTGAAAGTATTATGGATTCTCTTCTAAGAGATCTATTTTTTCTTACCATTGAAGAAATATATCCCAAATTAAGGTTAAAGTACTTTATATATCCTTTTGAATACTAAACCCCTTGCATTTACCCCAATAATTTAAAAGAATTCTTGATTAAAACCTATTTATACCCGGTACTTGTATAATACGTTACAGAAAGGGAGGTATCTTTCCTATAATATCTTGAAGTGTCCTTTTGTATCTGAAACCCCGTATGTGTACCCGGTACTTGTACTCTGAAGTCCCTTAAGAGATGTTAAAATCTTTCTAAACATCCTTGAAATTGTCATATTCTTGTGTCTTAAATACTATTATTCATACCCTGTACTTATGTTATATTAAATATAATTATATCTAGTTTCCTTTCATTTTAGCTTTATTTTTAGAGACTAATCAGGAAATTTTTATTTCAAAAATTAAAGACTAGTATATTTGTGGTTAATTATTAACTATTCCTGAACATTCTTCCATACTTTTCCCTCCCTCGAGTTCTCCCGAAGTAGAGAGCAAGCCTATAAGATCCCTGTATCGGTATTTCTTCCATAAACAAAAGATAGTATCCCAACACCAGTCCAAAGAGCGACAGAAAAGGACGAAAACACAAAAAAGTAAAGAATGGAAATCCTTAAAAACACATCCCCCGTAGCTGGCAACGATTTCCTTTGCTTTTTTTGGACAATTCGCATTTCGAATTTCGTGCCATGTCGCCAATTTCTGCGAAATTTTCGCCAAAAAGCACAAAATCGGTGTGCGACTGTCTTTGTGTGAGTGCGCGTGCTGTATGTATGTGTGGGTGAGTGTCTGTGTCACTGTCTGTGTGTTAGTGGCTGTGTGTGTGTGTGTGTGCGAGTGTCCTTAATGCGCCAACGAGCAACGCACACGACACAGAATCCCAAAACTTCCAGCCTCGAACCTTCGAAGCTGAAGCCTCCCAAAGCCACCCACATCCGCCCCAATCAGCCACCCAAGCCGCCCCTCTGTCATACCCTCCCGGTGTGCCCTCAAGCATCACATTAATGGCAGAGACACAGCACTCCACCCAGCCACCAAACAAAGCCACCCACTCTCTCCGCTGGGGAATCCAAAACCCGGGTAGCTTGGCTCTCGGAATATGGAAGGAATATGCTCATCCAGCTGGCTGTGTGCGGTCAAAAAAAAGGAGGGGGAGCAGTGGGGGAGTGCTCTGAAAAAGGGGGTATGGGTGTATTACAAGGCTACGAAGACAAAGTGGAGCAGGGTAAGTGGATGCTTCTCGGGGCAGACTGGTATTCCGTACGTATCCGTATCCGTATCGTAACGTATCGTATCGTTTGCTGTTGCAGCTGTTTTCGATATTGTTGTTAAGGTTCCTAAGGTGGAGGATTTAATGAACGATAACAGGGCAGAGTGCCCGAACGAGATAGAGACTATGGGGCAAAGAAAGAGAAGGCAACACGCCGAGGGAAAGAGAGAGAAATCTAAAATTCGAAAACTATCGCCTGACGAATTTCTCAGTAAAGTTGGAGGAGAGGCAAAGGCAAAAGCCAAGGGCGGTGGACGTGGGGTGGTGGTGGGTTGTTCTAGGGCGGAGAGGGGAGTGGCAGGTAGTTGGGGGTCAGGGGGAAGACGATGTGCAACTGCAAGTGACCCGGGACTTAAGGTGGCACCTGGAATGCCACAAAACCAAGAACAAACTTTTTTAAAGAAACATTAACCCACTTTTGCTTTGAAATTGTTGGTTTTTTGGGCTTTGAAGATATTATTTTATTTATTTTTTATTCATTTTATTAAAAAATTAAATATTTCATGCTTTAATTGTATTTAATAACTTGATGGTCTTTCCGAAATATTTATTTTTAATTTTTTTTTTTAAAGAGAATCACAAAAGTCGTGCAACTATTATTTTTATTATTTCTTGGCAAAGGTCCAGACTTGCCACTGGCCATTGCCACACGCCCTCCGCCTCCCTCCCCTGTCTCCCTCTTCTCTTCCGCCCACCTTTGACCCCTCGAGCGGCACGCGAAACAGCAAGCAAAGCATAAGCGAAATTAATTAAACGCAAAGGCGACAACAGGGTGTGAAGAGGAGGGAGTGCAGGAGGGCGGAGACCGGGGGCTGAGGGGCAAGAATGTGGCGGTCAAGGGGCTGGACCGGGAGGGAGGGAGAGGTGACTCCGGAGGAAGCGGACCATGGACCAGAAATAAATAAATTCCATCGACCCACTTTTTTCCATTCGCGTAGAATTATTCGTTCTTTTCTGACTTTTTTTAATTAAAAAATATTATTTAATTAAAATTTCAACAAATCAGACTAAAAACTACTGCTTAATTAATATTAATATAGTTTATTAAAATTAAGGAATTTAAACAAAATTCTACAGCAAAAGTTGAGAGAAAACAAGAGCCCTTTTTTTGCAAAAAATTCTATAAATTAATTTTCTCTATTAATTAAATATCTTAATTTTAATTTATTTTTTACAGCCTGCCCCCACCCTCACCCGCGCACACGCCCACCAAGGGCTTCGACGGCAACTTCAAGCTGGAGCCGAACCTCAGCGCCAAGGACTTCGCCCCGCCCCCCGACGCCTCCCTCAATGGCAACGGAAATACCAGCGGCAACGGCGACTCCCTGCCCCTGGCCACGCCCACCCCGCCCCAACGCAAGCGGTACAAGAAACGCGTCCAGTTCACCTCCGACGCCCTCAACGGCTTCGCCCCCAAAGGCAAGGGGTCGGGCGCCGGGGCAGGGGGAGGCGGTGGCGCCTCGGGCTACAGCTATGCCAAGTCGAAGAAGCAGGAAGCGAAGGCGGCGGCAGCGGCCCTGAAGGCGGGAGCAGCAGCAGCGGCGGCGGCAGCGGCAGCAGCATCCACAGCACTGCCGGAAGTCCTGGACTGCCGGATCGCCGAGAAGATCAAGAGCGAATTGGAGGCGAACAGCAAGGAGTCGCTGCCGAACGCGCTGTGCCTCAAGAAAGCGGCAGCCGCGGCAGCAGCTGCGGCGGCGGCAGCGGCCAATGGCAGCGACGACGACGACGACGAGGAGCATCCGCACTTGGCCGGAATGGCGGGAGCTCTAGCCGGAAACGGAAACGGCAACATGGCTGTTGATACCATCGATGGCATGGCCACCAGTAATGGCAACTTCCACAGCCGCAGCTCCAAGTCCTCGTCTGGCGGCAAAAAATCCCAATCCGCCAAGGCAGCAGCAGCGGCGGCGGCAGCAGCGGCTGCGGCTGCCGCGATGATGCCGCCAAATTCCTACGACGAGCACGAGGACGAAACCGGCGTCGGTCTCGGCGGGCCAGGACATCCGGGGAACAACGACGACGACGACGACGATGACGAGGAGCTGGACGAGGAGGCCCTCGCTCGGGAAATGAAAATGGAACAGAACTTCGTCGAGGAGGAGGACGAACACGACATTGCCTTCCGATCCTGCCAGTCCTGCCGCGAGTGCTCCATTACCCACGACCACAAGATGTGCCCCCTGAGGAATGCCTGCGGCAACGTCACGGATGCCGTCGACCTGGGCGAGTGGATAGAGCGCCGAAATCTGGAGGCTCTTGCCAAGCTCAAGGCGGATGCCCAGCGACAGGCGAAGCGGGCGAGTGGCAGGCAGCGGCACGAGGACGACGACATGGAGGATATGGAGGACATGGACATGGACGAGTCCTCCCAGCTCTCCGAGCTGGAGACCAAGCCCCTGATCACGTTCGCCGAGGCCTCGGTGCCGGCGGAATTCGAGCTGCACAACGTGGAGCCGAACGTGACCGGAGTCTTTGCCCGGACGGAGGTCAGGGCCTTCACGAAGCTGGGTCCCCTGATCGGCCAGCCCGTCCAGACAGGGGAGGTGCGCGAGGGCAGCGACATGAAGTGGATCTTCGAGATGTGCGAGGCGGGGGCGGACAAGTCCTATCTGCTCTGCTGCGACAATCCCAACGCCTCGAACTGGCTGCGGTTCGTCCGTCCGGCTCCCAGCTACGAGGACCGCAACGTCAACCTGGTCTCCATCGACCGTCAGGCCTACTTCGTAAGCTGCCGGGATCTGCGGAACGGCATGGAGCTGCTCTACTGGAGCGACGACTGCAACACCATGTGGCGTAAAAAGCACACGGAGAAGACTAGTAAGTAGCTTTCTTTTAAGAGTTGAGATGCTCTAATAGATAAAAATGGAGAAACCCCTCAAGATCAATAGTATAATTCAGTTATATTATATTAGTCAATAATAGTATTCATACCTGATACTTGGAGCTTCTAAGGCCTTTTTTATCGGAGTCTTCGAGTCTATTGTAGATTCCAGTACTTCCCTACCAGACCAAATAGTTTCTAAGATAGAAATTCTTTGTCCTTCGAATCAATGATACCACAAATTACAAACAAATTAACCAATTATTCGAGAACTTCCATGATTTTTGGTGGAACGATTTGCCAGGACAATTACCAGGATATTGGAAAGCACATATGGTTAGGCCATTTGTTCACTTTTCACAGAGAGTGATTATTTTAAATGCCGCCATTATGTCCCTACCGTGGATACACGCAATTGAAGCACAATAGAGCTATTACTGAAATATTCATAGAAACCTCTAAGCCTACATATATAATTTCTCTATCTTTTCCCCCGAAATAGACTGCGGTGGCTGTAACTTGAAGTTCGAGCACCCGCTGTACTACCGCACCCACTGCTCTGTCTTCCACGATCCGTCGATGAGTCTGACCATCCGGAAGTACCACTGCAAGGTTTGCGGCGAGGCGGTCCTGGGCAAGGACAACATCATGAAGCATGCGGCGGAGAAGCACGACGGGAAAGGCGCCTACCAGTGCCAGTTTTGTAGCAAGTTCTTCCTGAGGCTCAACTACCTGGAGATGCATCGGACCTACGGATGTGCCTCGAATCCGAATCGTTCGCGTCCTGTTTGCGATTTCTGCGGCCGGAAGTTCTGTCAGCCGCAAAAGCTGAAGGCGCACATCAAGCGGATGCACAGCGGTAAGTTGCAAGTTGCAAGTTGCAAGTTGCCAGTTGATGGTTGCAATCTGGCTGGCGGTAGTTGCACCACCACTGAGCCTCTCCAGAGCCAAGCCCAAAAAAAAAGAGCATAACGTCTAACTTAGACCGTAATCAGTAACTGTAAACTATTAACTGTAAGCTGTTAACTGTAAACTGTAAACTGTAAAGATGTAACCGCTGCCTGTGTGTCTGATCTGATCCGTACACCCATGCGTATGCGTAATTTGATGTAACGTAGCCGCATCGTAGGCCAAAAATGACTTTGTCGTAAGCTCGTACCTAGTCGTATGTCGTAATCACTCTGTATAGCGTAGCCTCTCACAAACTAACACACATGCCAACACACTTGTAATGTACCGTTACGTTAAGTAACGTAACATATAGCGTAAGCATCGCATCAAAGCTTTTATAAAACAATATCATATTCTCGTCACGGTCGCCACTAAATATTTATTTTAGTTTATTATTTTATAAGCAACATACATTATTTTGTTTACCATTTTACAAGATGTATCCTTTTATGCAACATACTGATATCGTATTTTTGTCACGGTCGCCACAAACTGTTTCTATTTTGATTTCTACACTTGCTTGTATCTTATTTTGTTTTTCCCCTTATGTGAATCATTTCTTTCAAGTGGAAACCGTACATACACTCCATTATATATCATATACCTGCTCCAAAAATAAAAGTATATCGTATCTACTAAAATCGTAACAAGTCGCTTAGCTGTAAAACTAACTCTGTTATCTGAATAAGCCACCATACTAATCACCACTCACCATTCACCACACCTGATAATCACCTTAAAAATACCTATGAGACACAAAAAGCATCTGCGATCGCTCATCTTTTTTTGTTGCCTACATTTTTGGTTAAACATCGCCTAAATTGGTCGACCAGTATATAAATATGTGTTGATGAATTAATAATTCAGTTTGTTTTGTTCGTTTTTTATGATTTTTGTGCTAAGTTTTGAGTGCAATAGTTGAAACCATTGAATATTGTATGCCATTGACACTAACTGATTGAAAAAGTGACTAAAAGTAATGGATTGGAACTCTTATTCGTTTGGGAGAGAAGAGAAGGTTTTTTCAGTAAAATAAATAAAGAAATAACGACATAATAGATTAAACAATACTTCAGAAGCCCAGGTTGAGAAAAAAATGTTAAATGATGATTTCTATATAACCACTTGTGAGAGTTTGTTCTTAAAAGAGACTTTTACCTTTTGAAAAAATCTATTTTTTGAAACGGAAATGATAGAAAAACACAACTTAATATTTCAAAAATGATACATTCTTTTCATAGGGACTTTTGACAATCAAAACTTTCAAATATAATCAGATCCTATTAAGAGCTAATAAGACTTTCAATCCCATCGCATTTTTGAGTAAAAAACAACCATTTGCATTGTGTAACTACTGCTTTTAGTGAATGATTTGCCTTGGTTTTGTGTTTAATTAACATTTCATTTGTTGTATTTTGATTTTAGAGAAAGATGTATAGTTTTCGCGTAATCCCAATCCAAAGTTCCCAACCTTGGTCCAGAAAAGAAAGAGTATCCCTTTGAATTTAGTGACCTGCGCCTTATGTGTTTTGGCTTTCGTTTCTGTATTCGTTGTTTGTTCGTTCGTTGTTGGGTTCTGGTTCCTGGTTTCTGGTTTATATGGATTATCACTAAGTTGTTCTTTCAAAATCACCACAATCCGAAATTTCATTTTCTTCATACAATTTCATTTTAGATATGGCTGAAGTTTTACGAGATTTTCAGTGTAAATTATGTTCAAAACTTCTAGGATCGCGAGCGGCACTTCAACGCCACTCAAAGGAGGTGCACAGTCGCAATTCGACGGTGGTGAGCTGTCCGCGTTGCCAGAAACTCTTCCAGAACCGCAGCAATCTCAAGATCCACATGCTGACCCACTCGGGCGTCAGACCATTCAAGTGCGTATAATCATCCTTACAATATATATCTGTGAGCTACTATATCATTAATTTATTTTATTGTAGATGCGCTGAACCGGAATGCAATGCGGCCTTCACCACCAAACAGTGCCTGCAATTTCACTACAAGAAGGTCCACAACTACACCCAGGAGCAGATGCCGAAGATCGAGAGGAGCGTGGCCTACACGTTCGATGCCTATTCCGGGGGCATGAAGGTCGACTTTCTGGGTAAGCAGCAAGCAGCAGCGACGGCGACGGCGCAGCCACGCCCTAATGCCCACGCCGTCGTCTCCTCTCCCCTCTCCTCGTTCACAGAGCAAGCACCGCGTCGCCGGCGCAAGAGCCTCGAGGACCAGAGCTCGATGCTGAGCGGATCGCTGCAGAGCGACGCCGAGTTCAGCGACGACAACCTGTTCGAGGCGATCAAGAAGAGCGGCAAGTCCATCAAGGACCTGTGCCGCAACGAGCCGAACCTCTCCCTGCTCAGCTCCAAGATATCCAGCATCTTTGGCGACAAAGTGGTGCCTTCATCGGCCGCTGCAGCGGCGGCGGCAGCAGCAGCAGCCGCCTCTGCGGCAGCGGTTGCCGGTTCCGGGCGGAAGCGGAAGCGCAAGAAGGACACCAGTGCTGCGGCGGCGGCGGCAGCAGCAGCGGCAGCAGCCCAGCAACAGCAGCTGCAGCAACAGCACCAGCAGCAGCAACACCAGCAGCAACAACAGCAGCAACACCAGCTGCAACAGCACCAGCAACAGCTACAACACCAGCAGCAGCAGCAACAGCAACAGCACCTGCACCAGCAGCAACTTCAGCCGCACCAGCAGCAAATGCAACACCACCAGCAGCAACAACAGCAGCAGCAACAGCACCAGCAGCTGCTGCACGAGTCCCAGCAGCAACAGCAGCAGCAGTACCACCCACATCACCTACATCCGCACAGCCTGCCGCACCAGCAACAGCAGCAGCAGCAACAGCAGCAACAACTGGCCGAGCAGCAGCTGCACGATCCCGACGACGAGGAGGCGGAGCAGGTCCGCCTGCAGGAGCAGGTGCGTCGCAAGCAGAACGCCCAGCTGAGCCTGGTGGAGTCCTTCCTCACCACCACCGCCCAGCGCCTGTCCGCCCAGCAGCAGGTGCAGCAAGTGGTGGCTGCTGCGGCGGCGGTCTCCGCCATGGCCGGGGCCGGCGAGGATCCCGCCAAGCTCGGGCACATGATGGGCCATCACATGGGCGTCGGGCTCGAGGAAGAGGACGAAGAGGACGAGGACGACGACGACACTGGCGGTGGCGGAGGGGGTGGGGGCGGCGGCCATCCATCCGGCAGCGTTTCCCACCAGCAGTCCCACCACCATCCCTCCCATGTCCACTCCCATCACTCGCATGTCCATTCCCATGGCCACAGCCATGCCCACTCCCATCCCCATCATGCCCACTCCCATCATGGCCACGCCCACTCGCATCCGCACTCCCACGCGCATCCCCATCAGCACGCCAGCGGCGGGCAGGGGTCAGGAGCCCAGCAGGACTACCGCCATGCGGCGGCCATGAATGTGGCGCTCGGCCAGAATCTGGTGGTCAGCAAGGGCAGCAAAAAGTGGATCCAGGAAGTCCAGGAGGCCAGCCAAGATGTGGGCGGAGGTGAGGCGGGAGGCAGCGGCGGCAACGGACCCTCCTCGGTGGGCGGCGTGGTGTCCTGCGGCCAGCTATCGAGCGGATCTGTGCCCGGAGCCGGAGACCTTGGCTTCGCTGTGCCGCCCGTCGACGAGCACAGCAAGCTACTTGGTCAGAACCGCGACTTCCTCGCCCGACTGATGAGCAGCGCCAGTGCCAGCCACGCCCATGCGCACGCCCACGCCCATGCCCACCAGCAGCACCAGCAGCAACAGCAGCAGCAGCAGCAACACCAGCAGCAACAGCACCAGCACAGCGCCCACAGCCGGGAGGAGGACGAGAACAGTTCCTTCTTGGATGTGGTCGAGTCCAATAACAACGCCGCCGCAGCCGCTGCTGCCGCCGCCGCCGCTGCAGCCGCAGCAGCAGCCATGTCCCAGTACGGCGGCAGCGCAGGTGGCAACGGCGGTGGAGGGGGCGGCGGAGTCAGTGCCGGCGGCAGTGTCAGTGGCGGCGATAACGGTGGCAGCGGCAGCGGCGGCCAGACGCCCACTGGTCCTGCCACAGGTGGCGCTGTCAGTGTCGGCGGTGGGGGCGAGGAGCCGCACGAGCTCCAGATGAACTCCCTGGCCCACTCCCAATCCTTCATGAGCTCATTCTACAACAATGCCAGCGCCCGGGGCGTGGGCGGTGTCGGCGTGGGCGTCGGCGTCGGCGGGGGATCCTCGTCCGCCAGCATGCTCGTGGAGGCGGCCTTGAACTCGGTGGGCAATATGATTGACAGCGAGAGCAACGACCTCAAGGTGAGTTTCCTAGCGATGCTGGAGCTGCAGCTCGTTGACTCCAGCGAGATGGATTAACGTTGAGGTTCAAGAAGGTTCAAGACAAAGAATTTTCATTATTTTTTAACAAAAAAATATATAGAGACATTATCTGATTTTGTTTTGTTTTTTCATATATATGATTTCTTACCTGAAGTTTCCTTTATGAGAGACCTCTGGGTCTAATCCTAAAATACTTTATGAATGAATACCATGTCTTAACCCAAAGCCAAGCTAGATCATTCCAGCTCTTAAAACTCCACTCCATATATATGTATATCCAACAGGTACCCACCGACAACCACATCAACAGCGACAGCCCGATGAGCGCCCACGTGGATCCCGAGTCCCAGCGATTTGGAGCCGGCAGTGCTGGTGGCGGAGCAGGTGGCGGCGGAAGTGGCGGCGGCGGTGGCTCCTCGGGTGGCTCATCTGGCGGAGCCAATGGTCCCGGAATCGGCGGCGCCATGGATAATCTGGAGAACGAGCTGAAGATGATGAAGAATCTGGGCAGTTTCCCGATGCAGATCCCGCCGCTGCCCATGTTCCAGGGCGCCTGCAACATCTCGCCGAGCGCATCGACGCCGACCAATCCCCAGAGTAACCAGAACCAAAACGACGTGGACGTGGATGCGGGCAGCACACCCCGGCCCCAGCATCCGGACTCCGACGGCTTCTCCTCCTCGCATCACAGGACCCCGCCGTCCCCACCGCCCATATCGCCGGGCCGGGACTATGGCGGCATGTTTGGCGGCAATGGGGCGGGTCCGGGCTCTAACAGCACGCCGGCGGGTAGCTCCAGTGGCGGCGGTGGAGGCGGCGGCGGTGGTGGCGTCTCCGGTGGAGGAGCCAACAGCATGTCTGCTTCGTCGCCGTTGCCGGCGTTGCAGCCGCAGCGCAGGAACGCCTCCAGCGTGGGCAGCACCTACCCAGAGCACGAGCTCATCTCGCCGGCGTCGTCGCCGAGCATTCCGCGGTACAACTTCAACGGCGACATGATGCGCCACAAGCGGGCCGTGCAACAGGAGCAGGAGCAGCAGGAGCGCCAACGGCAGAACATCTCGCGGCACAATCAAATGTCCAGTGACGAGGAGAACAGCATCATGCCCCAGAACAGGTGATTATCAAGAGCATTTCACTTCGGTCTTTTAATTTTTTATTTTATTTTAAAAATTATATACAAGATTTGAGTAGTAGTACCGGGTATTACACATATTTTTCCAAATATCTCCCACTAACGAACATTATCCTTAAAACAGTGCTGGCCAGGACATGCGCATGAAGTTCCCACAGTCGCAGATCGATCTCATGTACTCCAAGTACGAGAGCATGGCCAGCAATCTGAAGTACAACAGCCAGGAGCTGGACTCCCCGGCCGAGTACCGCCAGTCGAGCGGCAACGGATCGAGTGCTGCGGCAGCGGCGGCAGCAGCAGCAGCGGCCGCCAACGACCTCTCCGACCTGCAGGGCCTGGACATGAGCTCCCGCTCGAACGCGGCCAGCAGTAACTACCATCACAACTTCCAGCTGCCGAGCAGTCGGTATCATCACCACATCTACGACATCCTGTCGGATCGCGAGCAGCAGAGCCAGCAGTCGGCGCAGGCGCAGCAGCAGGCGGTGGCAGCAGCGGCGGCGGCGGGCGGCTCTGGGGGCGCGGGTGGCCCAGCATCGGTGGTGGTGCACCAGCAGGAACACGGCCACGGGCAGCACCACGCCATGCAGCAGCACCAGCAGTCGGCGGCCGCCATGCACAACATGCTGAGCGAGCAGCTCGGCGAGCAGGAGCACGACCAGACCACCAGTGTGGACCTCAGCCGGACGGCCAACTACGTGGTCTCCTCGCCGCCTCAGCTTCCGTACAACCATCCCTCGCACCACGACATGCTGCGGATGGCGTCCCTGGATCTCACGCCCAACACTGCCAACATGGCGGCCGTGGGCGGCGGAAACCGCTCCTTCCTCTCCTCCCAGATGCAGCATCAGAGTCGGGAAAGCCTCGAACATCACCGGCTGCTCTCCACGGTCGAGCAGCACCGCATCCTAGCCGCCTCCAATGCCGCCGCCGATCAGCATCGCCTCCTCGTCGATCCCACCGCCCATCTCCTGATGGAGCAGAATAATCGACTCCTCGGCACCGCGGATCAGTCCCGCCTCCTCGGGGAATCAGCGGCCGCGGCCGCCCAAAATCGTCACATGGCAAGGAGCTTCGGGGCATACCACCAGGTGGCATCCAGTAATTATCATCCGGGGGTTCGGCCTCCTCCAGTGCTGCCCTCCGCCAATCACCACGCCTCCAATCCGTCGAACTATCATCCATTCCCCGCCTACTATTAAATCTACAAATGGGCGTGGCTTTCGGGGAGAAAATTACCAGTGCCCGGGAAAAAAGTGCAATTCGGGAATAAGCTTATTTCCTTAAATTCCCACAAATTTTAATATTTTGCTTATAGGTTTCTTTTTAAAATAACAAATATTATATTTCTTAAAATTTTCCATCCTTTTTCCATTTGAAGCTTCAGGAAATTTTAAACTTTTCACTTTAAAAACTTTCAAACTTTCCTTTTTCAATATTTTCAAAACTTTTCAAAACTTTAAGACATTCTTATTATTCAACACCATTTTAGAACTATTTTAATACTCTTCGAAAATCCTTTAAAACATTTTAATCATTTTAAAAGCTTTTAAACATATGTATTTAAAAGATAGTTAAAATATATTTTTGAACCAAAAAAGCCTAAAAAACAATCTAAATTCAAAGCCTTGAAAGTAAAGCATCCAAACAAAAACAAACCATCATAAAACTGCCAATTTATGAAGTCAAATTAATAGGAAATAATAGAATTTACAATTTTCATAATTAAAAATAATAAAACTAGTTCTGGCGATGTTCAAAATAGTTAATATTTTCTTCATTACTTTAACAAAGCTTTCAACTAAACGAGATCTGAAAACTTTTCAAACTTTTTCCAATTTTGAAACCTAAACACTGAGAAAAATTCGAGCTGTTGAAAACTATAATCTTTGAATTTCAAAATGCGTGCCAATACAAAGTTTTTATTTGTTTCACATTCGACGGCTGGTAAACCGATTGGAATTTGTACACAATAATATAAAAAAATATGTATAGTTGTATAGGAAGCATAATTATAATAATAATAATGTGAAAATGAAGAAAACCAAGATAAAAATTTATGAAATGCGATAGAAACGATAAAAAATTAATAAACAAATAAGCCAGAAGCAAGAATTTTTTTAAAAGCAACTTTGCCGCTGAGTTTGTATAGAAAATATAAAAAAATGAATATAAATAATAACGATAATAATATTTTTACACCAAGAGAAAAATATAACGAGTACAAAGTGTTAGAAGAGGAAGGACATTCCAGGATTTGGCGCTCCCCCCTCCAACCTCCTCTGAAAATGCAAACTCAGCGATTTGATGGCAAAACAGAAAATATTTAAAAACATAAAGGACATGTTACACGACATATATATATATATATATGAAAAATATATATAATGTAAATCAGATATAGACGTACACGACCGATCAGGAACTTAGCTCAAGCATCATAACACTTAAAAAATAACGGAATGAGTTGAGAAAACGAATTTTTTTTGTCAATCTTACTTTTTTTTTGTTTTTTTTTTATGTACTATTACATTATAAATATTACGGGCTAAATATATATATAAATATATACATATGTATGTATATATGACTAAACATAAACTGTACTAAATGCTATATATTTAAAGCTAGCGTATAACTAAGTTATGATTTCATGTAAATTATTAAAAAACCAAATATTTATATAAGAAAGAATCGCGAGAGATGAAAATAAAAAGGATCGCATAATGAACAAGATTATACACCACATACCAAAAAACCATGATAATAATTATTAAAAAACACACAAAAAATAAAAAAATATATATATTAAAGAGAAAAACGTGAAAGATGATCCACATGATATGTATACACCTATATATATGCATATGGCGTAATCAAATTATCGATTATTAATAAAAGAAAAAATCGTAAATCGAGAAAATTATTTAAAAGGATAACACAGCGCAACAACTTTTATTTAGGGAAACCAAGACAAGCAAAAAATTGAAAGAAAAACCCTTTGGCTTTTCAATCACAGTATCAACGCACACACACTCAAAATTGGAATTTCTTGGAGCTTTTTATTTTTGCCCCCCCACTCCCTCCCCACCAAAAAATGCATAAAATTGCAAAGGAGAGGAGAAAGGACGAGGCCAGCAACAAGGACAGAAACAGGGAGAGGGAAAAGGACAGGGAAGGGTAAGGATAAGCAAAAAAAACGAAAAAAAAACAAAAAACATAAGCGGAGATGATAATACGGATGATGAGCCAGTGACCTCCAGTTCTGGTTCAGCAGCAGCAGCATCAGGAGCAGCCGGAGCGGGGCAGAATGTCACCGACGCCGGCTGAGGCGGTGGTCGCCATAGAAAGTATACAGTTAGTGCTGCCCCAACCACCCCAACCAGTAAAGCGAAATAGCGAAATAAAGCGAAATAGCGAATCGAAGCGAAATAGCCGCCAATCAAGATCTAAGGAATATCAAAATCCAGAGGGTTCTCCCGAAAGTTCGGCTCCCGAAAGCTCTGATCCCGATAACTATGACTATGAAGGAAGAAATGGCGGTAACGGTAACGGCCGTAACGGTAACGGTAAGGACAATAGAGCGGGAGGCAAGTCTAACGGTAACGGCAATGGCAATGGCAGCGGAAACGGAAACGGCAATGGCGACGATCTGATGATGCCACCGCCGCCGCCGCGCATCGGCAGCGGTCGCGTGGGGAGCAGCGTGCTCATAATGACACCGGACGAGATCCTCGAAGCCTACGAGAAGGCATTACAGGTGGGATATTTCGCTATGTACCTATATTCTAATATAAAAAGCAAAGAATTACCCACACATTTAAGATGGGGTTTTCCCCTATAGGGTCCACAGTGATGGCTATATCTTCCCCAATTCTCATCCGATTCTCAAGCGGAGTACCTTAAACGATTTCTAGATCGATTTGCTACCATTCTGCATTAAAATCTCGAGACGAAATATTTTTTAGATTTTTTCCCATTTTTCGATGGGATCCCTTCAAAATGCGGTTTTCCCCTATGGGGTCCACAGTGATGGCTATATCTTCCCCAATTCTCATCCGATTCTCAAGCGGAGTACCTTAAACGATTTCTAGATCGATTTGCTACCATTCTGCATTAAAATCTCGAGACGAAATATTTTTTAGATTTTTTTCCCATTTTTCGATGGGATCCCTTCAAAATGCGGTTTTCCCCTATGGGGTCCACAGTGATGGCTATATCTTCCCCAATTCTCATCCGATTCTCAAGCGGAGTACCTTAAACGATTTCTAGATCGATTTGCTACCATTCTGCATTAAAATCTCGAGACGAAATATTTTTTAGATTTTTTTCCCATTTTTCGATGGGATCCCTTCAAAATGCGGTTTTCCCCTATGGGGTCCACAGTGATGGCTATATCTTCCCCAATTCTCATCCGAATCTCAAGCAGAGTACCTTAAACGATTTCTAGATCGATTTGCTACCATTCTGCATTAAAATCTCGAGACGAAATATTTTTTAGATTTTTTTCCCATTTTTCGATGGGATCCCTTCAAAATGCGGTTTTCCCCTATGGGGTCCACAGTGATGGCTATATCTTCCCCAATTCTCATCCGATTCTCAAGCGGAGTACCTTAAACGATTTCTAGATCGATTTGCTACCATTCTGCATTAAAATCTCGAGACGAAATATTTTTTAGATTTTTTTCCCATTTTTCGATGGGATCCCTTCAAAATGCGGTTTTCCCCTATGGGGTCCACAGTGATGGCTATATCTTCCCCAATTCTCATCCGATTCTCAAGCGGAGTACCTTAAACGATTTCTAGATCGATTTGCTACCATTCTGCATTAAAATCTCGAGACGAAATATTTTTTAGATTTTTTTCCCATTTTTCGATGGGATCCCTTCAAAATGCGGTTTTCCCCTATGGGGTCCACAGTGATGGCTATATCTTCCCCAATTCTCATCCGATTCTCAAGCGGAGTACCTTAAACGATTTCTAGATCGATTTGCTACCATTCTGCATTAAAATCTCGAGACGAAATATTTTTTAGATTTTTTTCCCATTTTTCGATGGGATACCTTCAAAATGCGGTTTTCCCCTATGGGGTCCACAGTGATGGCTATATCTTCCCCAATTCTCATCCGATTCTCAAGCGGAGTACCTTAAACGATTTCTAGATCGATTTGCTACCATTCTGCATTAAAATCTCGAGACGAAATGTATTTAGATTTTTTCCCATTTTTCGATGGGATCCCTTCAAAATGCGGTTTTCCCCTATGGGGTCCACAGTGATGGCTATATCTTCCCCAATTCTCATCCGATTCTCAAGCGGAGTACCTTAAACGATTTCTAGATCGATTTGCTACCATTCTGCATTAAAATCTCGAGACGAAATGTATTTAGATTTTTTTCCCATTTTTCGATGGGATCCCTTCAAAATGCGGTTTTCCCCTATGGGGTCCACAGTGATGGCTATATCTTCCCCAATTCTCATCCGATTCTAAAGCTGAGTACCTTAAACGATTTCTAGATCGATTTGCTACCATTCTGCATTAAAATCTCGAGACGAAATATTTTTTAGATATTTTTCCCATTTTTCGATGGGATCCCTTCAAAATGCGGTTTTCCCCTATGGGGTCCACAGTGATGGCTATATCTTCCCCAATTCTCATCCGATTCTCAAGCGCAGTACCTTAAACGATTTCTAGATCGATTTGCTACCATTCTGCATTAAAATCTCGAGACGAAATATTTTTAGATTTTTTTCCCATTTTTCGATGGGATCCCTTCAAAATGCGGTTTTCCCCTATGGGGTCCACAGTGATGGCTATATCTTCCCCAATTCTCATCCGATTCTCAAGCGGAGTACCTTAAACGATTTCTAGATCGATTTGCTACCATTCTGCATTAAAATCTCGAGACGAAATATTTTTTAGATTTTTTTCCCATTTTTCGATGGGATCCCTTCAAAATGCGGTTTTTCCCTATGGGGTCCACAGTGATGGCTATATCTTCCCCAATTCTCATCCGATTCTCAAGCGGAGTACCTTAAACGATTTCTAGATCGATTTGCTACCATTCTGCATTAAAATCTCGAGACGAAATATTTTTTAGTTTTTTTTCCTATTTTTCGATGGGATCCCTTCAAAATGCGGTTTTCCCCTATGGGGTCCACAGTGATGGCTATATCTTCCCCAATTCTCATCCGAATCTCAAGCGGAGTACCTTAAACGATTTCTAGATCGATTTGCTACCATTCTGCATTAAAATCTCGAGACGAAATATTTTTTAGATTTTTTTCCCATTTTTCGATGGGATCCCTTCAAAATGCGGTTTTCCCCTATGGGGTCCACAGTGATGGCTATATCTTCCCCAATTCTCATCCGATTCTCAAGCGGAGTACCTTAAACGATTTCTAGATCGATTTGCTACCATTCTGCATTAAAATCTCGAGACGAAATATTTTTTAGATTTTTTTCCCATTTTTCGATGGGATCCCTTCAAAATGCGGTTTCCCCTATGGGGTCCACAGTGATGGCTATATCTTCCCCAATTCTCATCCGATTCTCAAGCGGAGTACCTTAAACGATTTCTAGATCGATTTGCTACCATTCTGCATTAAAATCTCGAGACGAAATATTTTTTAGATTTTTTTCCCATTTTTCGATGGGATCCCTTCAAAATGCGGTTTTCCCCTATGGGGTCCACAGTGATGGCTATATCTTCCCCAATTCTCATCCGATTCTAAAGCGGAGTACCTTAAACGATTTCTAGATCGATTTGCTACCATTCTGCATTAAAATCTCGAGACGAAATATTTTTTAGATTTTTTTCCCATTTTTCGATGGGATCCCTTCAAAATGCGGTTTTCTCCTATGGGGTCCACAGTGATGGCTATATCTTCCCCAATTCTCATCCGAATCTCAAGCGGAGTACCTTAAACGATTTCTAGATCGATTTGCTACCATTCTGCATTAAAATCTCGAGACGAAATATGTTTTAGATTTTTTTCCCATTTTTCGATGGGATCCCTTCAAAATGCGGTTTTCCCCTATGGGGTCCACAGTGATGGCTATATCTTCCCCAATTCTCATCCGATTCTCAAGCGGAGTACCTTAAACGATTTCTAGATCGATTTGCTACCATTCTGCATTAAAATCTCGAGACGAAATATATTTTAGATTTTTTTCCCATTTTTCGATGGGATCCCTTCAAAATGCGGTTTTCCCCTATGGGGTCCACAGTGATGGCTATATCTTCCCCAATTCTCATCCGATTCTAAAGCTGAGTACCTTAAACGATTTCTAGATCGATTTGCTACCATTCTGCATTAAAATCTCGAGACGAAATATTTTTTAGATATTTTTCCCATTTTTCGATGGGATCCCTTCAAAATGCGGTTTTCCCCTATGTGGTCCACAGTGATGGCTATATCTTCCCCAATTCTCATCCGAATCTCAAGCGGAGTACCTTAAACGATTTCTAGATCGATTTGCTACCATTCTGCATTAAAATCTCGAGACGAAATATTTTTTAGATTTTTTTCCCATTTTTCGATGGGATCCCTTCAAAATGCGGTTTTCCCCTATGGGGTCCACAGTGATGGCTATATCTTCCCCAATTCTCATCCGATTCTCAAGCGGAGTACCTTAAACGATTTCTAGATCGATTTGCTACCATTCTGCATTAAAATCTCGAGACGAAATATTTTTTAGATTTTTTTCCCATTTTTCGATGGGATCCCTTCAAAATGCGGTTTTCCCCTATGGGGTCCACAGTGATGGCTATATCTTCCCCAATTCTCATCCGATTCTCAAGCGGAGTACCTTAAACGATTTCTAGATCGATTTGCTACCATTCTGCATTAAAATCTCGAGACGAAATATTTTTTAGATTTTTTTCCCATTTTTCGATGGGATCCCTTCAAAATGCGGTTTTCCCCTATGGGGTCCACAGTGATGGCTATATCTTCCCCAATTCTCATCCGATTCTCAAGCGGAGTACCTTAAACGATTTCTAGATCGATTTGCTACCATTCTGCATTAAAATCTCGAGACGAAATATATTTTAGATTTTTTCCCATTTTTCGATGGGATCCCTTCAAAATGCGGTTTTCCCCTATGGGGTCCACAGTGATGGCTATATCTTCCCCAATTCTCATCCGATTCTAAAGCTGAGTACCTTAAACGATTTCTAGATCGATTTGCTACCATTCTGCATTAAAATCTCGAGACGAAATATTTTTTAGATATTTTTCCCATTTTTCGATGGGATCCCTTCAAAATGCGGTTTTCCCCTATGTGGTCCACAGTGATGGCTATATCTTCCCCAATTCTCATCCGAATCTCAAGCGGAGTACCTTAAACGATTTCTAGATCGATTTGCTACCATTCTGCATTAAAATCTCGAGACGAAATATTTTTTAGATTTTTTTCCCATTTTTCGATGGGATCCCTTCAAAATGCGGTTTTCCCCTATGGGGTCCACAGTGATGGCTATATCTTCCCCAATTCTCATCCGATTCTCAAGCGGAGTACCTTAAACGATTTCTAGATCGATTTGCTACCATTCTGCATTAAAATCTCGAGACGAAATATTTTTTAGATTTTTTTCCCATTTTTCGATGGGATCCCTTCAAAATGCGGTTTTCCCCTATGGGGTCCACAGTGATGGCTATATCTTCCCCAATTCTCATCCGATTCTCAAGCGGAGTACCTTAAACGATTTCTAGATCGATTTGCTACCATTCTGCATTAAAATCTCGAGACGAAATATTTTTTAGATTTTTTCCCATTTTTCGATGGGATCCCTTCAAAATGCGGTTTTCCCCTATGGGGTCCACAGTGATGGCTATATCTTCCCCAATTCTCATCCGATTCTCAAGCGGAGTACCTTAAACGATTTCTAGATCGATTTGCTACCATTCTGCATTAAAATCTCGAGACGAAATATTTTTTAGATTTTTTCCCATTTTTCGATGGGATCCCTTCAAAATGCGGTTTTCCCCTATGGGGTCCACAGTGATGGCTATATCTTCCCCAATTCTCATCCGATTCTCAAGCGGAGTACCTTAAACGATTTCTAGATCGATTTGCTACCATTCTGCATTAAAATCTCGAGACGAAATATTTTTTAGATTTTTTTCCCATTTTTCGATGGGATCCCTTCAAAATGCGGTTTTCCCCTATGTGGTCCACAGTGATGGCTATATCTTCCCCAATTCTCATCCGAATTTCAAGCGGAGTACCTTAAACGATTTCTAGATCGATTTGCTACCATTCTGCATTAAAATCTCGAGACGAAATATTTTTTAGATTTTTTCCCCATTTTTCGATGGGATCCCTTCAAAATGCAGTTTTCCCCTATGGGGTCCACAGTGATGGCTATATCTTCCCCAATTCTCATCCGATTCTCAAGCGGAGTACCTTAAACGATTTCTAGATCGATTTGCTACCATTCTGCATCAAAATCTCGAGACGAAATATTTTTTAGATTTTTTCCCCATTTTTCGATGGGATCCCTTCAAAATGCGGTTTTCCCCTATGTGGTCCACAGTGATGGCTATATCTTCCCCAATTCTCATCCGAATCTCAAGCGGAGTACCTTAAACGATTTCTAGATCGATTTGCTACCATTCTGCATTAAAATCTCGAGACGAAATATTTTTTAGATTTTTTCCCATTTTTCGATGGGATCCCTTCAAAATGCGGTTTTCCCCTATGTGGTCCACAGTGATGGCTATATCTTCCCCAATTCTCATCCGAATCTCAAGCGGAGTACCTTAAACGATTTCTAGATCGATTTGCTACCATTCTGCATTAAAATCTCGAGACGAAATATTTTTTAGATTTTTTCCCCATTTTTCGATGGGATCCCTTCAAAATGCGGGTTTCCCCTATGGGGCCCACAGTGATGGCTATATCTTCCCCAATTCTCATCCGATTCTCAAGCGAAGTACCTTAAACGATTTCTAGATCGATTTGCCACCATTCTGCATCAAAATCCTGAGACAAAATATTTTTTCGAAATATAGAATTGAATCCCATAGACCGCCATAGTGTTTTGGTGAGAGAAAAACGCAAAGTACTTTCGATGGTCTGACTATTCAGGGCTTGAATTTTCAAAAAAAGACGTTTCACAACACTTATAATATTATTATCGCGCGAATTTTAAATTAATTCCAATTTAAAATATTAATTTAATTATAATAACTTGATGTACCATATATGAACGTATTTATGTATTTAAGAAAAAGTAGCAGGCTTTATGTTTGGTGTATGTTTATTTAAGTAGTTTTGTTTATAAATCAAAACAAGAATATTCACATTTTAAAATTCCAAACATTTGTTGGCTCAAAACACTATTATTTTTATATTTTAGTAATGAAGGACCGTTTCAATTCAGTTTTGATTGATGATGCGGTAAACGGGATTTGTATTTTTAAATATTTCTCATAGTATTTTGTTTTTATTGAGATATTTTTTAAGTATTTACAAAAATAAACTATAACATTAAATATTATTACTAAATATTTATATTAAACCTACGTTTTGTATATAAAACTTCTTATTAAAAGTCTTTTCATATAATATTATATTCTAAGATTTCATCTTTAATTATAAATTTTAATTATCCAATAAATTGTTATATTTTGTTTTATATTTGTTAGTAAAATTGGGTTATGCTTTTCATATATATTTTTTATATAGTTTATTATATTTATTTAACTTATAGTTTTAATTTTATTGAAAAATCTGTTCATAATTTATTAAAAATTAAATCGTCGTTTTCTCAATTCCGTCGATAACGGAAATGAGAACACGCCGATCGCTTAACTGCGATATTTCTGAAAAAAAAAAACTCTGACCACCCTGTTCCGGCCGCCCGCAGGAGGGGCTGGAGGAGGAGGAGGGCGACGGAGAGAACGGCACGCCGGGAGCGAAGCGCCGTCGACTCAGTCTATGGTCGACGCTGTTGGCGGTGCGCGACGGGCTGCTGTACGTGGTCGGCGGTTTCTTGCGGTTCGTACTACGCTTCGACATGCACGGCGGAACCGGAAACAACATCAACTTCGTTGAGGGGCTGGTCGACTTCCTGGCGGGATCGATCGGTGGCGCCGCCCAGGTGTACGTGTCCCAGCCCCTCGACACCGTCAAGGTGAAGCTGCAAACATTCCCGGAGGTGTACAGGGGGATGTGGGACTGTTTCGTGAAAACCTATCGCAAGGATGGTTTCTTTCGGGGATTGTATGCCGGCTCGGTGCCCGCCGTCTTCGCCAATGTGGCCGAGAATTCCGTACTGTTTGCGGCATACGGCGGATGTCAGAAGTTCGTCACGTTTGTGGTCGGCAAGGAGAAGGCATCCGAGCTGACGGTCGTACAGAACGCCTGCGCCGGCTCCCTGGCCGCCTGCTTCTCCACCCTCACCCTGTGCCCCACGGAGCTGATCAAGTGCAAGCTGCAGGCCCTCCGGGAGATGAAGCACTTTGTGGAGCCGGCTCATCCGGAGGATATGCGCACCCCCTGGAGCCTGACACGCTACATCTGGCGCACCGAAGGTAAGAGTTCCCACCCTCCCATAGCCTCTAATAGTCGTCTCTAGCGAAGATTAGATTATCGCGCTTTTGGATTTTTGGCGGCCTCTTCTCCATAATTCATCATCAAAGGCGAAAACACAACATTATCGCGATATACAGCTCACAGATACGGATCGGAGACCCACACATCAGAAGCTAATACTGACCCCCAAACACCACACGCCCTCTCCTCGTCGCATGCCAAAGATTTCCGTAATCGGGGGGCGCTGCCAGATCTCCATGATCGCCTCGTACTCTTGGGGGTTATGTGGCGCTGGAATTTGAATTTGATTTTTAGGCGGTTTTTTATTTAAATTGAAAATAGGTTTAAATCTAATAAGATTTTTGAGAGCGGGACTTTTTTTTTTAAGAATAAGACTTGTCTTTTTTTAATTTAGAAGGTTAGGCCATGGAAGAACGTATCAAAACATGTCCTTTTTCCTTCAAAAATTTAGGTGTATTTCTAACCTAAATTTCCTTGTTTTATTCAATATTTCAACTTTTGGAAGCTAATTTACAATAAATACCTTAAATAATTATAAAAGCTAAACAATTTATATAATTAAACACTTTAAAATAATATTTTGAATAATTTTTAATATCTTCTTTGACCTTTTTGAAGAAAACTATTTATTAAAAAAGAAACTAAAGTCTAAAAGTAAGAAATCTTTTCATTTCAAACTTATTTGAAGCCTTTTTCCTACCAAAGCCCTTAGTTTTTATTTTAAATATTTACTCGCAAACATATATATTTCTTTATATATTATATTTCATTCAGCTCTTGATTGTATTATATCGCCAAACCATTTTTTTTTTGCAAAAATGAGTCACTTGAAAATATCAAGGCCTCAGCATAAAAGTGGGTGTCAAAATTCACAAAAAATGAATGAAATATAATATATAAATTCCAAGCTCCTAAAAGATAATACTTTACAATTTTTTAAGCAAAGACAAGAGTTCTCAATAGAGGTTTCTAAGCTAGAACTAGGAATTAAATTAAATAGAATTTTTATGGACCTATTCTGAGACTCATTAAGTGCGTCTGCTAGTTTTTATTACTTGATTATTTTTTTGTTTAATAAAAACAGGAAGCTTTAAAAAATTAACATTAGCCAAAGGCTATAAAGTAGCTTAAGCTGAAAGAATTTTCCTTGATTTGTAATAAAAATAAAACTGGAATCGAATCTAATCACTGAGAACTGGGAAGGTTCCCTCCAGAAAACATAAATAATTTCGTATTTACTACGCAGATTGCGGTCTTCAAATTGGGAATCGCTAACTAAAAAAACTTACTGATAAGGGGTATAGTACACATTATATTACGAAGTCCCCCCCTCCACCGGGAGAGGCAACATGCCACGCATAGTGCCGTGTGGCGGGGAGGGAGCGGGGCAGAATCTGGGGAAGCTGTGGATAATAATGCCCATCCTCATCATATCACTATCAAGTGGAAATTTACTGACAAACAGCGGTCGGATCAATGGACATCCGTCTTATAAATAGGTCTTCCCGGGGGTGCAATCTCCACGTGCCTCACGTGATTAACTTTTCAAAAAAAAAATCAAAGCTAAAAAAGCTAACATCTTGATTGACTTTATCTCTGGAACAGGAATCCGAGGCTTCTACAGGGGCTTGAGCTCAACGTTTATACGAGAGATGCCCGGTTACTTTTTCTTCTTTGGAAGCTACGAGGGCACTCGCGAGTTGCTGCGAAGGTGAGTCTATTAATTAATTCATTAATTTATTAATAATAATAAAATATAAAGATATTAAGAATAATATAAAGAAGCAGTGGAAGAACTCTTAAGAACTATACTATACTGTAGTATACTATAGCACTTTTGTTCTATACTATAGATCTATAGGCAGGTTTTTAATTTCTGAAACAAAGTTAGGACCTTTAGACTTGTATTCTATATATATTTGGTTTCTCTCTTAAATCTTAGTATTTTAAAATCTTTAAAAACAAAAAACCTGTTTATTAGGCAGTTATAGAGCTCTTAAAAATTATTCAACAGGTTAGGAACCATCGTATAACAGAATTCTTATTCCTAAAAGTACTATAAACCATAACTCTCAAATATACTAACTAAATACTTATCATTATCCTTCCAGCAATGACCAAACCAAGGACGAAATCGGACCAGTGCGAACAATGATCGCCGGCGCCATCGGCGGCGTCTGCTTGTGGACCTCCACGTTCCCCGCCGACGTCATCAAGAGCCGGATCCAGGTGAAGAACCTGAATGAGAGCATGTTCGCCGTGGGCTCGGACATTGTCCGGCGCGAGGGTGTCATGGCCCTCTACCGCGGCCTCCTGCCGTCCGTCCTGCGCACGATTCCGGCCACGGCCACCCTCTTTGTGACCTACGAGTACACCAAACGTGCCATGCTCTCCACGCTTTGACACGAGCATCTGCCACATCCACCAGGAGTGCTTAAGACGTGCGTGGCCGCTGGCGGTCATTACAAAAACAAAAACCACAACAAAAATTAACAAAAAAATTATTATAATTAATAATCCATTTTTTTCCACTAGAAAATTCCTAGCTCGTAGTGTTGTGCCTGTGTAAATTGTTCAGATAATTATTATGACTGACTTAAACCCGAGTTGTGTTTGTTCTTCATTCCAATGTCCTGCTGTTCTGCTGTCCGGATGGCATCCTCATATCCTGGCCACCTGGCTGAGGCGACGCTTGAGGAAGTCCTGACGGTCTGCTGCCGTTTCCAGTTCCCGCCACTCATGCCAATAGATCTGGAGGGGAAAAATGTGTTTCTTTATAGATAGTCTATAGATTTTTGAGGGAAGCAGTGCAGGATATATATCCTTATCCTTTTCGTAGCTTTCTTTAACTAAAAAATGATTGTCTTTGAGGTCTTAAAGAACTAAACACAAATTAGAGAACAAAATCATCGTCTTGTTTCTTCAGAAAATAAGACTCTGTCTCGTTCTTCTTCGTTTTTTTGAAAAGAAATTCAAGAAGAAAAGCTTGGAAAAGGATACAAGATAAGGTCCTTCTTCCATCAAATTCCAACTCACCACCACAGGATCATGGCCCAGTTGCCTCAACTGCTTCACCTTCATGTCCATTTGTCCTGTGAAGCGATCCTTGTCGCGAATAACGTTGTTCCAGCCGGCTATTACAATCACCACCGTGGCCAACTGGTCATCTGCAGCCCTGCCCTCGCCCAGCAGGTGCTGCCTGGTGAGGATAACGCCACTGTAGTCCTCCGTGGCTGGACTCACCGCCACGGGCAGGGCTCTGCCTTGACGACGGTCGTAGCAGAGAACCAAATCACAGCGGTCATAGTGCGGCAGGACGTGCTTGAAGGTGAGGGGCCGATGGATCTGTGAGGTCGCCTCCTTGATCTCCAACAGAATGCGGTCCGTGACGTTCAGCTTGAAGCGTCCGTCGCTCTTCGGGATGTACTGCGTGTACAGGCGGCCCATTTGCTGCAACTGGCGGTCGGTGAGCAGGGCGCCCTGGTACTCCCCAGGGCCCAGGAGTCTGGCAAAGCCGTCCAGGTGGAAGTACTCCCTGCCGGGCAGGCCGTTCTTGTAGGCGTGGTGCAGGAAGCGCCGCTCCAGAGCCACGCCCAGCAGCTCCGCATCGTAGACGCCGCGCATGCTGAGGAACTGGAGGCAGTTGGTGAAGCAACGGGGATACCGCACAATCTCGTCCAGACGCTGCCGCAGAAGGTCCGGGAATCGTTCCGCCAGCCGGCGCTCCACGCCCGACTCCGTTTTCAGGTTGAACAGCGCCATCACCAGGCAGATACGCTCCAGATCCTTGAGCCGGGCCGACTCGCACTCGCGCTCGAAGCGCAGCAGGATGCGCTCCACCAGCGCATCGTTGCAGGTCTGCAGCTCGCAGCCCAGGAGGGCGATGTGCAGGCAGGCCAGCAGCGAGACGTGCTCCACGCGCGGCTCCAGGGCGGCGAGGAGCTTCTTCAGCGGCTCCACCTGGGGCAGCTTGCTGCTGTACCGCAAAACCTTCAGCAGGGCCACCAGGGGTATGTCCTCGACGGTGTCCAGTTCTTGGCCGAGGCGCTCGTATATCTGGGAGAGGAGCTCCGGATTCCGGATGGGCGTCTGGGTCTTGAAGAAGCCCATCGCCATCACGCCCAGCTCGGCCAGCGTCATCTGGTCCACGCAGCGCGCCAGATTCAGCTCAAAGTCGAACATCTCGAAGACGGGACGGCGCAGCAGGTTGCAGAGGAACATGGCCTGCACCAGTTGCTCGGGGGGCAGCTTTCGCAGGCGGCGTCCCAGCTTCTTGAGGGCCAGCCACACGTACTCGCCGATCCGGACCAGCCCGAGCCGATACCAGGCATCGCTCACCAGCAGCAGCCGAGCGCTGTTCCACCGTTCGATGCGGCGACAGCACTCGATGTCCAGGGTGTTCCACAGCTCCATGTAGTTGCGGGTTTTGGTCGATTCCGGAACCGGCAGCTCGCACAGGGCGCGCAGGGATCCCAGCAGTTGGTCGTCGGTCAGGCGATGCAGCTGCTCGCAGTAGCAGCGAACGAATCCATCGAAGCGGGCATCACTTATCTGCAGATCCTGCCCGGCACAGTACTGGACCAGGCCCAGGAAGTTTTCGAAGAGTTCGTCGGGACTGGCATCGCTGCTGGGACTTTGAAGGAAGCCATCGGTTGGCGGACGCTGTCTGTCCTCTTGCAGTGGCCTCAGAATCTGGTAGGGCTTCAGCGATTCCGTCAGAATGTTGTGGGCAAACTGATTCTCTCGATCGGCAAAGATGCGGGCCGGCACCACTGCCGTAGTACCCAGCTGGCGGCCCAGTAACCGGGTTGCCTGGTGGCCCAATCTCCTCCAGAGGCCCTGTGACCTACTCCACATGGCTATTTCATTCAAAACAAACAAAAACAAGTAGTTATGAAAGCCCTACAAAATGCGGTTGCCGGAAAAACAGCTGTTCAATACTAAATTAAATACCAGATTGATTTTCGCGGGCAAATACCAGGGCTGCAAAGCTCTAAAAAGTCAGTGCTGAAAAGCTCAAAAAGCACAGTATCGATAAAATAAAAGCTGATATCGGGCACGGGCTCCTCTCAAAGCCCTACAAAATGCGGCTGCCAGATAAACAGCTGTTCAATACTAAATTAAATACCAGATTGATTTTTGCGGGCAAATACCAGGGCTGCAAAGCTCTAAAAAGTCAGTGTTGAAAAGCTTAAAAAGCACAGTATCGATAAAATAAAAGCTGATATCGGCCACGGGCTCCTCTCTAGCAACTGCACATTTGCCATCGCTAGCTAAGCAGTTCTGCTGAGCCATTCGACCAAACCGGTTCATACATCCGACCCGGTTCGTGAAAAGTGAGTGACCAATCGGAAAAATCCGTTTAATACCGAATTACAAGCATAATACCAGATTACGGAGGAGCAGTGATGTAGCCCTGGCAAACATCGACGTTGCCGATGTTTTGAAAACCGTCACTGGGCATCACTGGGCATCCAGCAGCAGCTTCAGTGCGTGAATTGTTATTTTTTTTGTATTTTTTTTGGCTCGTACGAAACGGAATCGCCTGAATTCAATGCAACGCCAACAGCAGCAACAACAACTCCCGGCCAGATTGGCGGCAAAGTGCAGTGATAAATTAGCGAATCGAGCGGAAAAAAAGCGGCGATCGTAAACAGGCGACACCACGGTAGAAGCTCCTCCTGCAGAGTGTGTGTGTGTCTGCGTGTGTGTGTGTGTGTGCGCGCCCCCCGATGTAAGAGTGTGTGGCGTGTGTGTGAGTGTTGTGCGTGAGAGTGTGTGTGTAGCTGGAGTGTATGTGTGCGGCGGCTGCAGAAGAAGCAAAAGGCAAAGGAAACGGGCGGAGAAGAAGCAGCACCAGCACCACCACCACCACCACCGCCACCGCCAGCAGCAGTCAGCGGCGAAGGAGGTGGAGGAGGAGGCGAAGGAGGTGGGGTCCAACCCGGAGGAGTGGAGCAACTGGCTCCTGGAAATCGGATTCGGATTCGGAATCACAATAGGAATCTAAAATATCAACAGCCATGAATATACTGCAAAAAATCGGTAAGTCTTTTTATTATTTATTTATTTTTAATTTAAGAAACTCCCAAAAAAAGGAAACAAAAGCTATATTTTTTTTTTCCTTCCTTTTGCCTTCTTTTTCTTTCGGATTTTGTGGGGGTGGGGGCGTGGGATTTCGCTTCCCTTTTTCTTAGCTCGCTCTCTTTCTCTCTCTCTCTCTCTCTCTCTCGCTTTATGCTCTCGCTCTCCCTTGGTCTCAGTGTGTGTGTGTGAGTGTGCGGGTGTTTGGGAGTGTGTATGTGTGCATCTGTGGTACTCCTTGATTTTCCTCCGGGTCTCCGGGTAAGATTTTCCGTAGCATCCCATAGTCGGGGGGCAGCAACAGCAGTGTTGCATCTCTTCTTCTTCTTTCTTCTGTTTTTTTTTTTTTTTTTGTTTTTTGTTGCTCGTTTTGGAAGCTGTCAACAAGTCTATTTTTAGTAACTCGCCGCTGCGGTGCTGCTGCAGCTTCTGCTGCTGCAGCTACTGATGCAGTTCCTCCTCCTCCTCCTCCCCCACCCCGCTTCCTTTCTTAATTTCATTTTCTTCCTCTTTCTGCCCTCTTCCGTTCTGCTGGAAGACGCCCCCGCTCCTCTGTAGAAACTCAATAATCCTTAATATTTCTCAATCCAATAGGAATGCATCCTTTGGATAGTTATCCTAATCACAGATACTAACTTTAAACCATGAATTATCTTAAATTGAGTGAAAATATTTATTTTAAATAGTTTTCAAAGCAAATAAGCTGCTTATTTTGAAGAGAAACGAGGGGGAGGGATTACGTATCCCACCACCTCCCACCACCCACCAGGCAGTTGCAGGTCAATTAAATAAATTCCAGATTTTCCAAAATTCCCTCTAAAAGGATACTCGTTATCCTGTTTCTGGAAACTAGACCTCCCGATGGGGGACTTTCTGTGGCGAAAATGCTAGCATACTTTGCAGGTTGGCTGGAAAAGGTCATCTCTTGGCTTTTATTTAATTTCTTTATTTATTTAGTTAATTATTAATTATTTATTTTTATTATTATTTCCAACAAGAGATTACCTTGTTTTCGGTTCTGTTTTGTTTTTTTTGTTTACCTTCATGAGTCGCCAGGTTGTCTCTTTCTTCCAAAACACCTGACTGGCTCTGGACAACGTCCATCATTCTTCCAGACCCGGAATCGGACTCGGTCTTGGACTCTGTTTACCTTTTGTTTTAACAAGTTGGCTAAAACAACAACAAAAACAACGAAAATAAAGAAATTCTAGACCCGCCAGCCAGCTGACTGGCCGACTGATTGTTTCCACAGCCTGATAACAGACCCCTCCTGATAACAATAGTTCACTGACAGTGCCCACAACAACAACAATAAGAACAACAACAACAAATAGTAACAGGAGTCGGCCCGCAAAGCTCTCAGTGATGACTATAACCCCTATGCCTATAAGTCATCATCTTTCTATAATTTCTATTTAATTCTTTGAATTTAAAATTTAAATCTAATGGGATATTGTTTCTAAAAGGTCTTGTTTCTAGGGGGGGAGGTTTTTAAATAAATTCGATGTTTTTAAAAAAAGAAAAATAGGGAATAATTATTTTATTTTGTCTACAAGCTCAGCACTTGTATGGATTATAATTCTTTAATTTCCTAAAATTAATATGAAAGGTCTTTCGAAGTCTTGGGATGAGCTATTTTATTTTTTAGGAATTTTTGAATTAATCAAAATTGACAGACATTGCTCTCATATTGAGTATTAAATACATATATGCATATATCATATTAAATACATGTTGAGCCCTTTTACCTTGCAATTCTTTATTTATTTAAAAATTAAGAGAGTTTCTAGATTTAAATGAATTATAGTCATGATTCAGATAGATTCTAGGTATTTTTAGAGAAGAGGTTCGAAAAAAAAGGTTCAACCAAAAAAAAAAATAATACTACAGAGTATAAGATAGTATATCTATCTATCATCTATATACTATCCTATTATATTTATTATATTATTTATATACTATCCTATATAGGTATTATATACCTATCTCTCTCCCTATAGAACCCTTTCACAAGCCCTTTCTAGACCCCCTTTCTAGAAAAAAGCATGATTTTCTTCAAAAATGAAAACTCACCAAGAAGACCTTTAGGAAAACTCCAAAAATAGCCAACCTTTAACCTAGTTTTGAGTTGAAAAAAGTATCTAAATAAAAAAAAGATACCTGCCACCTCAAACCCCTAAGATCCGTTCAACATTCCCCACAAAGGGGGTTTCTGGCTAAAAAAAGGTTTCAAAAAAGCCAAAGCAGCAGCTCCGGCCACTCGCCAGCCCCGATTAGATTGTAAAAGTTTCTACGCTCCCAGCTGTGGGGTTCGGAAGCTCCGCCGCTCTGCCGCTCATCGCTTACCGCTGGCCGCTCCCCACCCCACCCCACCTGCCGCTCCCAACAGCAGTGGATCGCCGGGCCGAGTGGCTCGGTGGCTGGCTGGGTGGCTCGGTGGCTCAGTTGGACGCGAAATTTTCACAACGGCGGGTCGTTCGGAGGTCGGTGGCGGATTCGAAAAAAAAAAAAAATAAAAGCGCGGGCCCCTCCCCTCCCTCTCTAAACAACCCACCTATAGAACCCACCATAGAACCCCAGCGCGTGATATCACTCCGGAGGGCAATCCCCAATTCGTATTTTTTTTTGCGTTATTTTTAAAGAGTGTTTTTGTTGTGAAAAGCAGTGATGATCGGAGATCGGTGATCGGTGATCCGAGATCGGAGATCGGGGATCCAATCGATCGATGTGTGTGGAGTCGCTGAGGCGTTTGCTCCAATTCCCGCGCCCCATCGCTTGACTTTTTAGTGGGTGGAGTGCCTCGATTTCCGCTCTTTTTTATAAAAAAAAAAATAAAAAATAGAAAAACATGCGAGTTCTGAATACCGAGCTGCGCCTGCGTTTCAAGAACCGCAAGCCGCGACCCTTCAACCGGGCCGCCAGTGCCGACGATGCGGCCACCATGGCCCTGGACTCGAGTCCCTCGTCCCCAGGAGCCCAGTCCTGCCTTCACGGATCTCCCAATACGAGTAGGTATTCCACCTGTCGGAGGCCACCTCGCCTGGTGATTCACTCGCCAGGCAGCTCACTTGTTTATTCATTTTCCAATAACTATTTTTTAAATACTAGCTACTAGTATTAGTTACTAGTACTAGTCACTGACTTGCTGGCTTTATTGTTTGTGGCTCTTGAGACTCTCCAGTAATTGTATTTCTATGTTTAGATCGGAGAGTCATTGGGTTGCTATAGTACTTGGGAGGGGTTACTTCTATCAGATATAGGGGGAGAGGGTATGTGTCTTAAAAATATAATACATAGATATAGGGAGATGATAAAGAGGATATATAATAATAATATCATCTAGGGAAGTAATATTACATTCTTAAGAACCGGAATAGTCATAAGTACTACTTGGGAGTGGTTTTACCAGCTATAGGGAGAGGATATGTGTCTTAAAAATATACTATACTACTATAATACTATATATATCTAGTACTTTAAAATCTAGGGAGGAATATCATAAGCTAGAAATCAAGGATTGTAATCTAGGGAAGTGATATTACAATCTTAAGAACCGGAACCATCATAAGGGGAGTCTTAGGGTTACTATTTGGGAGAAGTACCTGTTCTAGGAAGAGGGTTCTAGGGAATATATTATTAATGGATGTATTAGAATCTATTATAAGAATATGGCTTATAATAATAAAGAATACTATCATCCAGAGATATTATACTATAATCCTAGAGAAGAGCATTATTATAATCTCAAGAACAAGACCCCCATACAGACATTCTCCATTAGGAGAGTTACTTGAGGTGTCTTCTTAGAAGAACTACTAACCATAGGGAGGGGAAATATATAGATAGATA